GATTTGACTATTAGGATTGTAAAAGGCACTAACAGAGAGGGGGGAGGGGGGGAGGGTTAAATTGGTGTTATTAAAATAAAATTTTGATTTAAAATTTTCGATCGATAAAACCAAAAATGTGTTTAATTAAAAATGTGAGACGAGTAAGAGTAGTGAATAAGTAAATCAACAAGTAATGATAAGGCAAAACAAGAAGGATGCAAACCAATTTATAGTGATTCGATTGTCCCGACCTATGTCCATCTTCCCTCAACGCCACCGGCTTTTACTACTGATCTTCTTTTCAACGAACAAAGATCAACTATCCTTATTAAAAAAACTTTTCTCCTTTTCACAAGTTTAGGAGAGAACCATTATACCTCTCTTCACCTTTTAACAAGCTTAGGAGTGAACCTTTACACCTCTCTTTTACACAAGACTTCACACCTCCTTAGTATAACCTCTACACTCAATGAGGAAGAGACTCAAATACTTCTTAAGAGAGTTTACATACATCAATTCATAAGATTTCGTTCTTCTCTCTTCTTTTTCACCTCTTGCATCTAGCTGAGTGAGATATTTATAGACCCCAAATGATTTAAAAAATAAAGTAAAAAATTTAAGTCCCTGAGTTTTTGGGGCAATAGTGGTATTACCACCGACATCATATGTTACTACCATCGAAAAAGCATAACCTGTGCTTTTCGGCTCTCAAGCGGTACCATCGGAGCCAACCTCAAGTTACTGAATTAGCCTTCCAACAAGCCCAATTCAACCCTAATTTAGGTCTAATAGACTCCTAATTAAGTTGTCATGGTTACAACTCAAAACCAACTTAATTAGACTCTAAATGACTTCGATCAAAACTTAACCACTTTAATTACAATCATAAAGCCTTCAATATGTTGCTCAGTATGCCATCTGTTCAACCTCTGATGCATCATCTTTTCCCTCGACGTATTACTTGATCTATCAACATGTTGACTTCTCACAACATCCGATCTTTTTGGCGTAATACCCAATCCTTTCATCATGATGCACGAACTCATGGCACGAAGTCTATCCTTTGACATATCGATGAATCTTTCGGTCCAACATCCAAATTCTCCTGCTTCAATAATTTATCATTCAATGGTTCTAGTTCATGATAAAAGTTTGTTATGTGTCACTTATCTTAAACCTATATCAATCTATAAACTCATCAATTTAACATCAAAAATCTATGATTCAACAGCTGCTGTTAGATAGCGAGCTACAAGGGTAAATTTCTCCCCCATCACACATAATCCGTGATTTTTTTTTTCTTCCCCAACTATCTAACTTAGCAGGTAGAAGGGCTAAATTAGGTTACCATCAAGAAAATAAGTTTTTCTTTTTGGTGTAAGCAACTTTAAATGATATAAATAGTTCATTACTGATTATGAGAACTATCTCCAGTAAGTAACTGCATATTGCAGGCCTTAGCTCCTAAAGGCTAACTTAGGATTCCATGACAAACATAAGCTCAGCTTTTCGATATTGTTTTCTTTCGATGACACCAAGTACTCATTGCTGATCTGCACTATCTCCATCATTTGCCCATTGTGGGCCTTAGCTTCCACCTATATTATCAACTTCCACGATAAAGTGGTGCTCAATATTTTTATATATCATCTCCTGTACCTTATCTACAAGCTATAGTAGAGTCCATGCAAGATTATACACTGTATGCAATCTTATCCCACTCGAGAACCTGATACCTAATAAGCAGTAAATTATATGCTATATCCAGGCATCTTTCTCAAACTGAGTCACATAAATTGATAGCAACGAACCTTAAATAAGCACCACATAAGAATATCTAAGTTAACGAGGATCCACCAATCCCAAGTTGGACTAAGAGGACTTGGAGAATCAAAAGGCTCCCCAGGTTCCAAACCTTGTTTATTGTTTGAGGAGACATTTTTTATAATATAAAAAATATAACAAGAATATTCTTCATCATGATAAATATTTTATCATTTTGATTAATGATGATGTATTGGCTGAAATAATGTGATAGCACAGTAAAGAATGAAAATTTGAATCTTTCGTCAATCACCATCAAACTAATATTTTATGTATAAAAATTTTCATATTTCTCAGCTCTTCAAAAATTGGCACAAGTTATTTTCCCCACATCAATAACTAAAGGGATCACCTCATCGCTGCAAAACAGCATCATCTGCATTAAGGCACCTTGGTGCCGCATTACCGAACTCACTATCATAAATCATCATGCATCAGATCACTTAATAGTCAATCGAAAAGAGCATACATATATCATGAACCCTTGTCAAACACCGAAATAAAAGATACCCAAAGTAACATGCAAAACAGGGGAGAAAAAGGTTGTGGATAAAACAATAAACCACTCGAAATGGATTACAATAATCCTGTCCATTCACCAACAAATTATTAGGCTATGGTAAAATTCTCGATACGGCTGAAATGAAGTGAAACAAAAAAATTCACATTTCCATTTGTATGAAAAATATTTGAGGAAGCAAGTGCCAATTTGATGAACTACATGCCCTGATCGAGGAGGTAGTCACCCAACCTTTCCACGACCATGTTGCACTGGCCTGGAGTCATTGGCTCATCATACAAGCCGACGATCAATGCTTGGCCAGTCTTCTTGATGGTGATGCCTCCCGATCCCTGTCATGCAAAACAATTTTTCAAGTTAATCTGAAGACTTATTGGAATGGCACCGACAAAAGCGTTGGACACGGGGAAATTATGATGATTCCCATGTCTGCGTTGAAAGCAGCACAAACAATGTTTCCCATGAAAAGCTTTGCAATCTTTTCAGAAATAGCATTTCTTATCTCGTAAGTATATTATTTATAATGATTTTTTTTCACAATTTACAACATGGAATATAATCTCGGCCCTCTTGGGATGCTACTACTACCAACGGTAGTGATAAACATTCATAATTGGCATCATAGACCTTGCATTATCAATGTCTAATATGCATGAATTATAACATAATACTTCTACAAAACATGTATTTCAACACTAAGAAGAATTACTTCAACTAACATTTAATTGCAGAGATGGAATCACCAAGAAGAATGCACAAATTTATTTGCTAAAAACTGATATACTGTACATATTAAACTTCCAGAAATATCATTATCCTCAGAAGAAGTCAAGAAAATATTTGATATGAACTACAAAAAATATATATATATATAGTAATGAGAAAGAACACAATCACCTTCTTTCCACGAATGACGGCTCCAGGCTCTCCTTGAATGACCATGTACTTTGTGGATCCAATAAATAAGCCAACAGGAGCAAGAGTTCCAGGTTCATTGAAATCATTCATTATATTGGTGAACTCCTCAGGCTTAAACTAAAACATGGCAATAAATAGGAACATCACTATATAGAATGAAAGAGCAACAATGTGAAGAGGAAAACATTTCAAGCACTAACATGCATGTTAAGCAAGAAACGAGAGAAATAATTTTTTTTTCCTATGAAGGGGAATTAAATGAAGATAATAAGAGAGAGCAGCATGGATAGAGCATTAGGAACAAGCATCACCTACATGGTAGACAAGCATAGATCTGATGGCAATTTACTAGGTTTGCAAGAATTTTGTAAACATCAAGTAAGAAATTAAAATCTAAATCAAAGCATAAAAATCTATAAGATAGAACGAGCAACAATGATAGGGCACTTCCCAATTTCAGACTATCCAAATCCAATTAACCTTCAGAACCTGAAATGACCGATCGAAACCAGATCCTGCCGCGTCGTCATCCAACAGACACCATCTAAAACAACCATGCAACAAGTCGATCGATCTCCCCTCGGACATTCATGAACCGATCCAACCATCGGACCTCCTCAGCACATCAAGATCATCAGATCCAAATGCCTCTACGACTTGAACAAGATCAAAGCGCTGAAAGATCCAAGATAGAGGGAAATCGGGGCCTAAACCTTAGGAAAGGACGCGCTCTGCGCCCAGACGCTGCCGTCGTGCCCGATGATCGCCGCCGCCGTCAGATGGTGGCCCTCGATCTCGCACATCAAGTGCTCGTCGACGTACGTTTGCCACGACATCCTCCCACTCTTCTTCTTCTTCTTCTTCCCCTTTCGTTTCGTTGCTTCTCCCGCACGCCTCCCGCTTTAAATTTAGTTTTGGAGGGCGGGAGACGAGTGGAGCGGAGGGGAGAGCGGATCTGAAGCGTCACCCCACCACCCACTCAACTCGATTGAATACGTGCCCTTCGAGTCCGCCTCTACTAATGCCGCGAGGCCCGCCCTTTTCTGCCCACCGATCTGCAAAAATTAACCAATCAGCCCTAACCCGATGCCATATAATTTTCCTCTTTTCTTTTTCTTAAAATAAAATTATAAAAAACAATATACACTCTTATTAAATACAAAGACGAATTGTTGAGATACCCAATCTAATTAATCTATTCCGGCATCAACTTATTTGTAATCGTCCACAGGTCAATCGCAATTTATTTCGACGGCTAACAGGAAAAGAAATCAAGCGTGGCAGCCGATATGGGTTGGGGCGGCCGAACCGCTCCAACAAACATTCTTCATGCCTGTCATCCTTGTGGATAAGGATGGAAATAAATATATATATATTATTATATTATCATTTCCCAACAGCTTTGAATTATTTATTTCGTGCGCAAAAATAAATGGGTAAACTGTGGGCGTCTACAGAATGGTAGGTAGCAAAAGCACTAGTAACAAACTTGAAGACGACGAACCGCGTCGGCGTGCCGAGTCGGACCGGGTCGAACCGCGTCGGCTGAACCATCCATCGTATGGATAAACACGAGGTTGGTCCCTCATATCACACTTGTTGTTGACCCAAATCTCCTTTCGGGTCCCCGATTGATCTCATGGTGGCCCACCGATTCCACCAACTGATGAGAGAAGGGATATAGATGATTCCTACCCGACGAACGAGCTTATCCATTACAACCCACGCAACGAACGTAGATGGTGTGGAAGGAATTCTGAAACACTTCAAAAGCCTTGTTGTTTCCACTACTGATTCCATCCACATATTAATGCACAGTGGCTCGTGATATATAAAACCACAAAGAGAATAGCTCCTCCTCGACAAAGTGCAGTCATGGGGGAAGGTCTCAGGCAAAGAAGGTACCATCAGGAGGAGGAGGACGACGAAGAGCTGTTCGAATCCGACTCCTATTCGAGCAACTCCGACGACGATGATTTCACGCAAGATGTGACTCGTTCGCCTCCGGCTTCATCCTCGCCATCGTCCAAGCCGGCTTCAGATGGACCTCTGCGTGAGATGTCTTCTCTCATGGAGCATCTACCCATCAAGTGAGCATCTTTTGAACTGGCCATTAAGGCTCGAACGTAGAGCTCAACTTGATCATTCAACTGGATGCTATTGTTTCAGGAGAGGGCTGTCCAAATACTATCAAGGGAAGTCGCAATCCTACACATCGCTTGCTGTGGTTAGCAGCGTAGAGGACCTTCCCAAGAAGGAGACCCCCTACGCAAGGAAGATGAAGACGTGCAGGAGCTATGCAGGAGGAATGGATGCAAGCCAGAAGCAGCCAAAGAAGGCTCCCAGGGTTGCTTCCTGTGCTTCGTTGATGTCAAGAAGCAGCAGCAGTAGCAGGCCACCTTCAATTCCCTTGCAGAATCCTCAATGTCCCCGTTGAAGGGCATCAAAAGGAGAAAGAACGATACATACCAAATCAATAACATCGTGATTGTTATTGCTATTGTATTTGTTTTGTTCATATGCGGCGACATACACCAAATCAATTCTAATTCTAATGTACACGAATATAATTCTAAATCTTCTCTATAGCATGGAAACCTAAGTTGTTCAGAGTTCCGCGGTAGAAGAGAGGAAGAAGACGCCAATGGCAATTGCAGCGAACGAGGGATTCGATCGGCGGAGGAAGATGGAACGCCGTGTGTCGGGCCGCGCGTATGTCTTCATCGGAGATGAGGCGGTCGTCGTTGACCTTTCCACCATATGGGTCCGTTAGGTGGAGGCAACGACCCTGAGAAGTGTCGTCGGCGACGTGGTCTCTCCACCTGCCTCTGAGGGGGGACCCGCATTGCCAACTCGTCAGGTGACATCGCCCCTGAAATAACTCACGGGTGTCTCAACTGTACGCGAGGTATCCGTAACGTTCCATGTTCACGCGCGTGGACCACTCAATCGGGCGCCAGAAAACGGGTTTAGTTCTTTTCTCATCGGATCCGGTACTGCATCAGATGCGGATTATTGGATTCGGATCCACCCATCTGGATTCACATCCGCAACCTACACGAAGCTGGCCCCATATTAATCCAAGATGAGAAGGCCAAAAAGCTTTGGGTGGGCTTTCTGTGTTTACCCAGACACACACAAAAACCTAGTCAAAGGCAATCGAAATTGAATCTAGCAGTTCTGGCTTTGTTCTCTGTGGTAAACTTAGGTCAATCAATCATTTAATTCTACATAGTTTTGATGTCAAACCTATTTGGATGTCGTTCATAAGTCTTCTCCATTACAAAGGCAAGCCTTCTGCCTTTTGTTTTGATGGGGATTCTTCTCGATTGTCTTTATCATAATCTTAATAATGACCAAGTCTCACTGTATCTGTACATCATTATCAATTACAGATTCTTGTTTCATTTCAAACTTTATGGTTATTTGATTCAAGATAAGGATAGGCATAGACTAACAAATTTGTGCTTTGATCATCTCAAAGTCTTGCTTTTGGGCGCACATAGTTGACTTGTTGTCCGATGGTCTAGAAAATTGTCATCCCTCTGCATTAAACAAAATGAACTGTTAGAACTACGCTGTTCTTTCAATTTTATTTTGATACCTAATAGCTACAGTTCTTGCTGACTTGTGCTCTTCTTTCTCTTAGGAGGACAAAGTGAGAAGAAAACTGAAGCCCAGCTATTAAAAGCAGCAGAACACTACCTAACTTGGAATAATAATGACATGCAAAACTAGGATTGGAGGGATTGAAACAGGGATTCTAAACACATGTTTCTCAAGTCAATGGCCATTGACTTGCCCCCTAAAACAAGCTTGGTCTTTCAACTAAAATAACCAAGATAAGAAGACAATGCTAGAAGAACCTTGCAGTGGAAGCAAAGGAGAACCCCTGAATCCAGTGATTTGTAAGATTACTCCTAGAGGGGACAAGCCATCAATTATTGTGGAACACTCATCTCATCATGGTTGTAAGTAATAGCTTTTCTGATGAAAGGTGCTAACAATTATTATGTGGAACACTCAATGAATTAGCAAATCCTGCACCCAATGATTGTGAGTAATAGCTTTTCTAATGGTGATCATTCCATGGACCTGTAACTCTCTGGATGGATAAGATCACACAAAAGTCACTCCTTTGACTTCCAGCATACAAGTGGAATATTGTGATTTCTAAGTGCTACTAGTCATATCTAGCAGTTCTTGGTGCCTTGTTTCATTTGAAAAAGCTAGGTTGACTTTGTCAATTATTTCTTTGAGAAGAAGGCAAGCACAGGCCAATGCTAGAGCTAATATCTTGCTTGACATGTTCCAAGGAATATTGGCTACTACTGCTGCCATGAGGATATAGACAAAGAATGTGTCTAATATGGTTGAAGTGTTTAATCTGTCAAAGTGGACATCAGAATAGACAAATGCAATGAGACACTTCACCAGTGGAATCTGAAACTAGGCTGCACTAAGGAGAGGAAATAATCAAGTTGGTAATTAGGATTAAGATTATTTTATTGGCAAGGTTTCTAAAATTCCCAGGAGAAATGGAAGTCCTGTTTGAACCTGCTTGGGATATATACATCAGGAATTGACCAGGCCAAGTAAGGAAATGTATTCAAGCAGTAGAGGACTTGTTCTATTAATTGGTGAGATGGTGGTTCTTAATGGTGTGTTCTCCTACTTCTATAATGCTTAAGATTCCATGCTTGGAAGACAAATGTTTGTACATCCATGCAATTGAGTGTTTTGACTTTGCAGAACTAGCTTCCATGAATTGGATGTCTTATCTGGCACCTCACTTGTCCATGAACTTGACTGTTCAACATCTGCAACATATACAAGGAAGTACAATATCTATAACCACAACTTCCTCACACTAATGGAGATAAAGCAAGAAGCAATACAGAACTTTTTTGTCCTGTTTGCCTGCAACCTTGTACAATTGGAGTCCAACTCTACATTATCCTGGCGGGTGTTCATCCTTTATGCATGACAACCAGAAGTCAGAGAAGGCCATAAGACTCATCCAGGTTGTTTAGCATGAGCACAAGCAACAAATGCAATCCATATTCTCTCTTAAAATAGCTCGCTTTCTGTCATTAAATCCTGCAATTATTCCTGTGTCTGCTAGCTAAACTTAGCTGAAATCTATTAGATAATTGTGGTGCAGAAATTCTGCAGAGTGGAACAGAGGGTTTTGTTCTTAGCAATATACTCGAGCAATCGAAACATGGCTTTTACACAGGCACTTCAGAATCAGGAGCAGAAACAATTCTCTTGACAGGAAGCAACAATCCCAACACTTCGGAATGAGATATGGACTCTGTTCCTACACAAGAGAACTAGAGACTAATAAGACACTTCCCCAGGAAAACAAATTAGATTGCCTTGAGGACTGACAGCAAATGCCAAACCGTAAAGAAAACAAGCAACTTCCAAATCAGTGCTACTGGCTGTGACATGCATAATCAACATTCATGAATCGTGGTTGCTGATCTGACTAGGAATGCCTACATAAAGAAACTCTTCGTCATTCTGTCACCTTGTTTGAACATGTTCCGAGTGCAGACTGCAAGTTTCATATAATCTTATTTTAAGAAGATTACAGGTACCACATCAGCATGGCATGGCATCTCAAATGCTATCTAGTCACAAAAACCTGTGGAATACATTATTGTCTCGATCTAAAAATGCGTACAGTGGTGGACAGAGTCCTGCTCTGCTAATACAATGGATTGTCAAGTGCTTTTATAGCATCCAGCAAATGAACGGTGACATCTGAAGAGTCGAGTCACTTAACTTGCCTCTTTAATCTGTTGACACCAGTGACTAAGCTAACATAGGGACTAGCTCAGAGACATGGAGGGCCGCGACAAGCATGACTGAACCTTCGCAGAAGCTGAGACTGTCATCTTCAGAAGCTCACAGTCCATGAAAGAGAGAAGAAGACCCCCAGTATTTTTATATGATGAACAAAAAAGTACACGTTTTGGGGCCTATCTAAGCATTGGCTGAACAAAATAGCGAGTGGCCATGCCATGGGGAGGAAAAAGGCAGTATGAAAAGGCCTGATGGCTACCTTAACTTTCTTTACCTCAGCTTTGAAACTGCCATTCCACCACCCATGCAGTTTTCGTGGCCTCTGAGGAGTAGGTCAGGGGAGGGAAAAAGCATGCCCTTGCTGACCATAGCCACAGTCATTTGCTTTCCATTGCCAGGCTCCGAAGACCGAAGCTTGGACCAAGTCTCACCCCCATTCTAATCATCATCGGCCACGACGATCACCAGCACTTGACACGGATGTATTACCGTTCATTAGCATTAGTTAGATCTCAAGTTCTATGGTCATTTACAGTGAGGTTTTCCAGTACACCACCCAATCCATCACCCAAATTCAAGGACAAACGGAGAAGAAAAAGCAATCGATCGGACTTCCAACTAATAGTCTACGTTCTTGTCAGTTCTACTATGCTTCCTGGCTAAATCTTCCTGTGGTGCGTGGCTTTGCTATGAGTATGTGGGACTTTGGTGCAGCCCCTGTGCATCGGTCTCGGAAGCAGCCCACATGATGGACGGGTTGGGGAAGCAGAGGTTCTCCTGGCACTCATAGCCCCCGAGGAAGTCGCCGGCGCCTCCAAACCCTAGCGCCGAGAGGAACAAGTCGTTGGAACCAACTCCGGCGGTACACCAGTTCAAGAAGCTGTGGCTGCTGCCGGTTTCCACGGTGATGGATGACGAAGTTGCCGAGACTTCCTCCGATGGGGACACCACCTGCCCGTTCGCGTGGGCGTACGGCATGACGTCCGAGTACAGCTTCTGGGATTGGTCGGTGGTGATGCCATAGTCGGGATGAAGAGGCACAGTTGGGAAATCGAAATCGGTGTTGCTGAAAACCTCAGTTTTGACCGTAGGAAGGATAGGAGGTGGCGAAGTCGGCGGCGGGCTATGAAGAATGCGGTTGGTGACGGAGAGGTTGGCATGCCTTAGCATCAGCTTCTTCTTCAGCTTGGTGTTCCAGTAGTTCTTCACATCATTGTCAGTTCTTCCAGGCATCTGGGAAGCAATTATAGACCACCTAATCCGAACCAACACAACAAAAGCTTAGCAAATCAAGCTGGTAGTGCATCACGCATAATCTCAGAAGAAAGCTTCGAAACCTGCTTCCAATTCTATTGTGAAGAGTGCAAATGATGGTATCCTCTTCCTCCGTGAAGGCCCCATGCTTAATGTCCGGCCGGAGGTAATTGAGCCACCTTAACCTGCAGCTCTTGCCGCAACGCTTGAGGCCTGCAGTGTGGAGGAGATGGCATGAGGCGAGGGAGAACGCGTGGGCTATGGAGTCATGGAGACTGGTAGATCGGCTGCGGTTCCTATCCAGCTTTGCATGTAAGGGATAAGCATTCCATTACGAGACATCAGATGGTAACACAGACTGTGGCAACCTGTCAAACTTTAAGCACAAACAGCAACTGCAGGTATGCGATGCATGTGATAGTAGCGGGAAGCTGATGGTTCTGCTAAAGCTGATAATTAACGTACCAAATAGGCTATTCTTTCGAACAGTGGAACAGACAAAAGGCTCCTCAAGAGAAATTAAAAGCACAACAGGGAATCCAAGTTCTCGGTTTCAGGAATCATACTGTTTCCTTCGTATTATATACACAGCAAAATATTAAATGGATCTTCATGGGAAACGAGTGAGGTTACCTTTTTTTCTTTTTTTACTGTCTTTTCAGAGTGAATCGTGGAAAGGAAAACTTGGAACTGTGAAGCTGCAGAAGGAGAGAAGAAGAGTGACCTGCTTTCTGGGGCAAAGCGATCCAGTTTCCGCCAGTTCCATGCTTCTCGATGTAGATCTTGAGGGTCGCATCTTCCTCCGGTGACCACGGGCCCCTCTTCACGTTCGCCTTGTCGCAGCACGGAGCTCTCCCCATCTCTCCTCTCCTCTCCTCTCCTCTCCTGCTCCCTCAGAAGGAAGAAACAAAGAAAGAGAGCACTCAGAGGAAGAAGAACAAGAAGAAGTGGCGCAGGCAAACGGGGGGCTCTCGCCGTGTCCTATATAAAGAGGAAGAGGAAGGATTGACCAGGTACGACCTGAAGGCGCCGCTGCGTCCCCCCTCTCTCTCTCTCTCTCTCTCTTGTATAAAGGGGAAGCTGCTGAGCTGGCGTTCTCTTGCCTTCTTGTCCAATCCATCACAACTCCGGTTCTCCTAAGGGGAATCCTTGGCCGTCCGATTCCCGGACAGCGACAAGAGTAACAGATAAAATCTGACAGGCAGACGGCTGCGATGGAGACTTCGCATGTGCCTTCTCCTCCATTATTTTTCTCCTCCTTTTGACTTCTCATTCATGCAGCCTTGGCCGCCATAACCCCATTTCCGTTGCCAGTATTACCATGCACTCCACACATCGCTTCATGCAAGGCTAATCACACTGAGACAAGGTCAGACGAAGACTGTATCCGAAGGCGAAAAGATCCACCGAGTTGACCTCGTGCCCCCGTCCCATGGCGACTGCCCAAGCTCGAGTGAGAAGAAACCAGGGAGCTGCATCGAACCTCGTGTCTGAATCCAGCCGTACATATTTGAAACCGTGCGCAGAGACGAATTTCAAGTTGCTGTTCTTTAGTGCCGCGCATACAACTCGTCAAGAAAAAGGGGCGACGAGAGGGCGAAGCCTTCTTCCTCTGCAACTTCATATAACAATGACTCGTGTACGGGTCAAACGAAGGGTTCTTTGTGCAAACCGATGACTGCGTCTCAGAAAACAAAGCGCATGAAACTGGAGGTTGAGGATGATGGATGACTGCAGGTTTCCAAGCTCTAATTGGGTTGCAGGTGTCATCGACATCCAAGATGTCAGTGTCTGCACCCAACAAAACAAAAACAAAGCTTCTCAAGGAAAAGACGCTCCTTGAGAGCTAAGAAGATCGTGTGATCTAATCAAAGTTCTGTTATCGATTAGCGAAGCACAATAATCAAGACCACCTGATTCGAGCATATACGTCGCATCGAAAGGCAAGAGCTAATGGATTTCCCAAGCAAATCACTTTCCCTTTCTTTGTTGAGGAAGGTTGTCATCCTCACAGATCGTCACGTAGACTAAGAACGTCATGATGGCTATTGTTTCTCGTTCCCTTCATTTCCATCCATGATGAGATCCAGCTAGTTTATTTAACTATCATGGTCTAGATTGAACATTGCCATCAACTTGGCCTATAAAAATCTTTCGATTGACTTGTTTAATCTTTAGTTCAAGCATAGTAATCAAAGTACCATCAATCATAGCAAAACAACAAAAACAAAAACAGCAGAAAATTCAAGACAAAGACCGGCGCCATCGCTGTCTTGCATTTATCATAATTATTGTAATCTTGTCCCGCACCAGAAGAGAGATGTGATGCTTTATTTGTATCAGAACATGATTCGGAACTAAGTTTTACGAATCTGACCTTTATGTTTTTTGTTTTCGGATTGATAACATTCGGACTTTTCATCTAATGACGTGGATGCATGAAATGTCCACCTTCGTTGACTTCCTGATGAGACGGGCACGCAGTGTGTTTCTTGCTTGCCCACCCTTTACAAGCTGGCTTGCCCACCTGATGTTTGAAGAGGAGATCAGATGGTGAGCTAAGAATACAAGTGCCAGGCATGATGGGAAGAGAGTTGGAAGGACGATTAGGGCTCAAGTGTCTGAATCAACTTGGTTTTTGGCTTGTCTTCTTTGTTCTTTCTAGTTTGTTTGTCTATGAACATGGAGCTTTTTTTCCTATCTTAATCATGAATTCTGTATCAACAACAAAGCGAACAATTTCTTGTGATTCTTAGGTTAGTGGGTGTTTGTGTGTGGCCAATGTTTGACTTATTGTAATGACTGACAAATATCTCATAATTAAAGACAAGATTTAGGTCCTTTACTTTGGTTGTAAAAGAGAGGGTCCATTTAGTTCACATAAGGCTCAAGCCTCGGCAAAGCCCATTACTGGCTTCAAGACCTGCATCACGAATGCAGTGAGATACAGGAAAACTTTTGCTTATATGTGTAGGGTTAAATGTGCAATATATATTTGTATTTTGATTATTTTTATTTTTTGTAATAAAATAAAAATAAGAGAAATAATTGTATGTTTGTACAACTTTAAGATATTTGATTAATTGGAAGGGGTATTATATATATATATATATATATATATATATATATATATATATATATATATATATATATATATATATATAGTTCGTTGAGTTAGCTGATAATAACTCATTGTTGGCGACGAAAGGAAGCCATCGCGGTTGCTCGAATTGGGGGGCGGAGGCGAGGCAGATTTGGCGGAGAGAGGGAGGGAGAGGCGATTGTGAGGAGGAGGAGGAGGGAGGATGAGTGTGATCGACATCCTCACGCGGGTCGACGCGATCTGCAAGAAGTACGAGAGGTACGACGTCGAGAAGCTCAATGCCGACAACGTCCACGGCAATGACGCCTTCGCCCGCCTCTACGCCTCGGTCGAGTCCGATATCGAATCGGCCCTCCAGGTCCCTCTTCTTTCTGCTTTTTTCGTTTTGTTAGGTTTGGCCGCTTGATCGATGCCCGGCGGTTGACGTGGCTGTCGGACGGTGCAGAAAGCGGAGATGGCGGCCGGCGAGAAGAATCGGGCGGCGGCTGTGGCGTTGAATGCCGAGGTCCGACGCACCAAGGCGCGGTTGTTGGAGGAGATCCCCAAGCTGCAGAGATTGGCCGTCAAGAACGTCTGACGCATCCAATGTCTTTTTTAGATTATGCTGCATTCTGATTCTATATTCTCCGTCTGCCAGTTGTTTGCATTTTGGTGTTTTCTGTGTCTTAAATGATCTGATCTGTGTTAGTTTGCTGTTCAATTGCAAATTGACAAAGTAAAATAAAAAACAATCTTTTGGTACCTTTTGCCATGCCGCTTATTCAAAAAGGCAGGGAGGCCCTATTGCTGACGAAGAGGCAACGGATTAATTAGAGTAGGCTGGTGAGTCTGGTGTACCTTGTAATTTTCACTATTAGATTAGAAGAAGTGAGCACTTAATAATACGTTTTTGATTCCATACTGATGATTATATGATCAAAAATCTGAAAAAGGAGTTCCTGCAGCCGGGGTGATGATTGAGATGGATGACTATTTTTTAAATTAGAAAGAAGATGGAATTCCTCAAGGATGTAACATGATATAAATTGGACTGGGAGTAGTCCCAAAGGAGAATACTGCACCAGTAATGAAATTGAGTCAATTTATTGTTGAGGTAGAGATACCATGTGAGGAATAGGAAGGCCACAGAATACTTCATGACGAACAATGAGAAAAGATGTAGTGGTCTTGGATTAGATGAGGGATTGTTACTAGAACTTAGTGTTCATGTGGTAACTTCAATTACCTTGGGAGGAATTTTGTGGTTGCAGGAAATGTTGATTAGTGCTGGACAAAGTAAATGATAGAATATGGGGGCAATGCTTGTAAGTTGAAAGTACATCATTGTTCACGAAACCTCAAGCACTAATGTCCTAGTAGGACAACATTGACTAACTCTATTCTTAGAGAATGTGTCTATGTGAACCAGGCCTATGTCAGAGCCTTGGAGTCGACTGATGACGGTCTGAGAGTTGTTTAGACTTCTAATTGCTTATTTATACTTTCTCCTTAGATTTAACAGTCAAACATGTTTAGGTTCAATGCTGATTATATTATCATATTATATTTGTGAAACAATAGTATCTAGTGACAGCTAGAAAGGCCAAGTTAGGGATTCAATGTGCTTTAACCGGTGGGTGCATTGTACCAATTAGGAAAATATTGTAAGGCATTGTTCTGGATAGCAAGCAAAGTATATAAAGTTCTCAATACTAGTACCTACATAGCCCCGTTTTGTAAAAAAATCTCTAGAGGTGAGAATGGATTGGACACCTGTTGCCCTGAAAGATAAAGATAAGCCACAATATTGGTCATGGGTAATAAAGGCTTCCGTGCTTTATAGTCCATGACTTCTAATTATTGACCTTTTACTATTATCATTGGACGAAGAAAACCATAGAAAGCAGTTTATAATTCTTCTTTCAGGTAAGTGGTGTTATGACATGAATTTATCTACATAAAATATTTTCTTTCTATTGATAATTTATTCTGATATTAGTTGCTGTTTTTATTGTTTCTGGTATTTGCAATTTCAACCGTTCTTGCTCATTCACTATATATGGATTTTTTAAAATATAGTTAAAAAATCTTGTGTTTCTTGTGTGTTATTTGATCATGAGATTATTATGAATCAAAATGTAACAATATAAAATCAGCTGAAGCAAATATACTATTTTTATGATGCATTTAGTACTTCTAATGTAGATATGTTACAGGTAAAAGGGCTCTCAAAAGAAGAACTTGCAACACGAAGTGATCTGGTACTTGCTCTGCCAGGCAGAATTCAGTCAATTCCAGATGGGAGTACAAATGGATCAAAACAAACTGAAAGCTGGACAGCCTCTCGCACAGAAATTAGATTTGACTCAACTTCAGGTTATCTGACTCATTTTGGATGCATTCTTATTGATTGTTTATGAGAAATATTCTATATAAACAAGGAACTCTTTTTAGAAATTATTGGGCCAGGTTCGTGGATGTCTGTTGACTCTCTGTCCCATTCCTTCTCTAGTGTTTATAGGTTTTCCTGAGTGCTGACAGTCTAAGTTTGGTAGGTTGCAAGGTATTTCGTACTTCTTTTGTTTTGTAGGTGTCTGCTACATGAAATAAAGGTCAGAAATAATGTGGTAGACCTCAGTCTAGAAGTTCCTCCATGAAATCAGGAAAGATTCTTGTTACTAATCATGAAGAAAATTGTATATCTGCCAATGTCACTTCAAGGCACTGATATTGCCATCTCTTACAAGTTGACCAAATAATACAGCTGCTTTTTTACAAGTAAATTGAGAATAGTTATATCCATGATGTATGGATGTGATATAAAATTTGAGTGATTATTATGCCTCACATGTTACAAAAGGGAAAAAGAATGGTGTTAGGAAGTCTTTTTCAGATAGCTGTTAACTTATGAGTCAATCTTTGAGTGAAACTCATCTGATTCATGGCAAATCAGGTTGTTTCCAAATTCTACAAGCATAGCTATATTTTTTTAAAGTTGGATTCAGTTAAAGGATTAGCCATAAGATGATTCTGTAATTTAGCGAAATGATATTGTTTATAAGAGGGAAAATGTGATTTGCCATTGTAATTATTGAACTTGATAGTTTTTCAGGTATGAGTATCATGAGTTTGGTTGTGTCTTGCAAGTGGATTGTCCAGGAGTTTGTAGCGATTAATTTCTCCAATCGATGTTAGAATAAGAACTATGCTGCTTTACAATAAGTTGCTCACTATTTGTTTTTATCGTTGGCTTGTTAGTCCTTTGATGTATCACTTAATAAAATATTAAAGTTTGCTAAATTTCTAATTTCCATTCTTCCTGTAATACATATTTCTTTTTATCTTTTTTATTAATTTGATTAATGCAGATGGAAGGTTTGAGAGTGAGTATTTTCAACAGACTGAAGAATCAAGCCAATTTAGGCAAGAATATGAGATGCGCAAGATGAAACAGGTACGTCCCTTTTGGTTTTTATTTTTTATATTGAGGGTTGCTGTATCATAAATTAGATAAACTGAATGGCAATTATCATAAAATATTGTATTTTAAAATAAGAATCATGTTGTTGCAAGGCACATTACCAAGGGCTTTTTGTTTTCTCACAGTGGCTTCACCAGATGTTTGGTGTACTGCTTTTATACTTCATGAACATTTTCTTTTAGGCTATGCTAATAATTATTTTGCATTACTAATATTTTTTAATTTCCAGTATAGTCAATATTATATTAACATCTTCCTGAATCGTATTGCTTTTGGTCCTCACCATTGATGTTATGTTGACCAATTTGTCTGGCATAGATGTCGAAGGTTCTTGTGGGATCACCAAATCTAGTAGTCTTTTTTTTCTAATAATCGGTGACTGTTCCTCAAAGTAATTGTTGCTTATGAGAGAATGTGTTAACAAGGAATCTTTCTGCAGGATCAAGGTTTGAATATTATATCAGAAGGTCTGGAGACACTGAAAAACATGGCCCATGATATGAATGAGGTTAGTTTGGTTGTTTAGAATTCTGGCATTATGTGAAAAGAGCAAAATTTATGGATGCTAATTTTCCTTTAATCTACAGGAATTGGACAGGCAAGTCCCTCTCATGGATGAAATTGACACTAAGGTTGGGTTATTTGCTTCCCCTAAGATTGTTGTCTCTTTAGAAGTGAAATATAACTTGGTTTTGTCCTCGTTACTTTTAAAACGCGGACTATAGGTGGACAAGGCTACTTCAGACCTGAAGAATACTAATGTCAGACTTAAGCAGACTGTGAATCAGGTATATTTCTAATTTTACCACAAGGTGTGACATTATGTATGTTGAAACCACAAGGTGTGGCATCTGTCGCAGATCAGCTCTAATGAGTTCACTGGCTTTGTTTTTCAGTTAAGATCCAGCCGCAACTTCTGCATTGACATAATCTTGTTGTGCGTTATTCTCGGCATTGCGGCTTATTTATACAAGTAAGTTTCACTGCCCTGGCTAAGGGTTACCTCGGTTATCATCTCGAATCTGAGTTTATGAAGGGTCAGATGACATTATCCTTCAATTAGGAGATACAAAAATCTCATATGAACATATGATAGTTGATGAATTTCTTCAAGCAAACCAGAGTTCCTCGGACTCATATTATGCAATTTCCTTTTTCACATATGACAGCTGAATATGTAAACTATTCCTTTTCTTTTTGCAGTGTTTTAAAGAAATGAGATGTGCCGGAAACCGGTATTCTACTTTGACCTTCAAGCTGATTGCTCTTCTATTCCTCAGAAACAAGTTATGGCAATGTGTCCATTGTTGCTGCTTCTTTTTACTTTGCTCGCCTTTTTATTGTAAATGAAATTTGAGGAGAAATCTTGGTTGTTGGAATACTACGGAGACAATGTGGCTTGTTTATTACTACAATTCTGTGAATCAATTCACACAAATATATAATTTTAATTTTCTTTTTCTTCCTTCTGATGGTGTATAACAGTGGATGAAGTGCGAAGGAAAACTGGTGAATTGCATACTTCTGTAGATTAATTTTGATTACAATGGAAATGTCAGGCAGAGGATAATGAGTTAATTTTTTTTTAAAATGATCTTTTATAGCCCAAAGTATGGATGAGTTCATGTCATTATGGAACAGATTCTTTCATGATGCATAAAGTAAAAAATGAAAGAAAGGTGGGGAAAGAAAAAGAAAGTCTATCACAAAAGCACAATTTTAGAAAGCATGTCGACTCTCTCAAAGTCAAATCCATAAAGTAAAAAAGAAAGTGTAAAGTAAAGCCAAAACTACAAAGAAAAGAAAATGCTTGCATAATTATACAAAAATTAACATAAAATAAATCTATGTAAAGAATATAAAAAAAATAAATTCAACGTTGAAATTTCAAAATCCAACAAAAGTCAAACAAAGGAAAGAAAAAAAAAAGCTTGACCCTCAAAATTCAAATGCAATAGAAAAAAAAGATGTTCAACGTTCAAAAGTCAAAATCCAAAACAAAAAAGAAGGAAAAAAAATAAAGGATAGTAGTCACCAAAAATGCAAAAACCAAAAAGAGAAAAAGAAATCTCCGTAGGCGAAGAATTTGTGCAGAACAAAAATAAGGCCGATCCATCAAAATTGAAAAGCCACTGATACTGCCCAGGATCGAACTGGGGACCTTTAGTGTGTAAGACTAACGTGATAACCACTACACCACAGTATCAGATGTTGAAATTGATGTTATTTTTAATTAAATATATCTTTATATAATAACCTATACATTCATCTCATGCCATGGAATTAGCCTCTCTATCTGTAAATATAAAGTTACATGCACCCATTGACTCGTCGCATGCAATAGTTGATTATTATTATTATTTTTATTTTTCATTTATTGGATATATCAATAGTATGTTTCAGAATCATAAACTTGAAGGAATAAATGGTTCAAGTACAAGACTGGTATAAGAGGTTCACTCTTATCATGTTTGATCGTGATGCCACAAATGGCATGATGACAATACAGTCTGTTACTGTTGGATTGTTCTAAGGATGATGACATAGTTACCATCCTGAAATGGATTGGCCAAAACTGAGGACGTCAAAGCACCCATCCAAAGCTGCAGAAAGGCCATTCTCCAAGCAGAGGAGAAGGGGGGGGGGGAGAAGGCAATCAGTGAATGCCCACTTTTCGGCCTGTGGCAGTACAATAATTGCTTGCCTCTTTGTGATAAAGATTACTTGGTGGAGATTCATGGGAGAACATGTGGATATGGAGGAGAATAGGTGGCATCGGCCATTCAGACAAGATCTGCGTTCTGACACATCACTGGATAGGAATGCCCCCATCTCCAGCCAGTATCAGAAGACAGTGGTGGTTCACAAGTCAACATCCAATAAAAGTGTCTTGATAGCTCCAACAGTGAGATCGGCTTTCCATCTTTGAATGTGTGGTAGATGGCATGATTGAGTAGTTTTCACCTATATCCATGCATACATCTTCTAGACTTTGTTGGGAGTCTTTATCATCTTTCCGATATGACTTCTGCTCCTCAATTCTGCGTTCCTGAGATTGGCTTTCCATCTTGAAATCTGTGCGGTGGATAGAACGATCGAATAGCTTTCACCTGTATCATCTGAGAACTCGTGGCACGAGCCGAATGCAGAAGAGCTGCAAATCTAGCTTTGGGGTAGTGATGGTAAATAAAAATGAGCTCCTGATGGCCTGAGTTCAATTCTGAGGGGGGGGGGGAGAAGAAGGAAGTAAGAAGAAAGAACAAAGGTAATAGAAGACAACAACGTCACAAGAGAACAATCAAGAAGTGGTCCGCCCAGCAAGCAGCAATTAATGCATTACTTATGCTCTTCCAAGAATTGTTGGTGGCTGATGCCTTACCTTCCTTCCTCACTCTTCTCTTGTCCTCCATACATGTGATGGCGATCACGTTCTGCAGGATAAATAAGGATGCGATGGGCTTCATGTCCCATTTACTGGATTACAGACTCGATAAATTGTAGATCCTTGTCATTCTTCTTCAAGTACTTCCTCATGTTCTCCTAGTTTTGACTAACCAATGACATGCACAATTAAGGAGCGTTAATGATCCTCGAGTCATTTCTAGAAATTTGTGTCATTGATGCCAATTATGAATCTGAATCTGGAATGTTGATGATTTAGACATGCATTGCAGTTTTGAAGTCAGAGCTAATGGCCCAAGATACATGGAGCTGAACCAAGAAAACTGTGATGCTGTTTCCTTTTTAATTTCTTTCACTGTGGTATTGAATTTTGGATTTTAACATCCAAAAATGACCTTACCTTGTCTGTGAATTGAACTTTCAATTCTAATTGCTTGTTTCTTTGTTCTTTGTGGTTCTTCTTTAGATGTTCACAAGTTTCTGCAAAAACACTGCTTCATAAGCATTACTTTTACATGTAAACATTTATGAACTTGCTCAGCATCAATGGCAAAAATAAGGTTTTACAAGGAGAGGAGAGTCTCACATGTCTTGATGGCTTCACAGATAACTACAGTAAACCTACAACAAGCATCAGCTTGTCTGAGAGTGATTGGTCCAACTCGATGAGTAACAAGAACCTTGTACTCATAGCATCTAAAGATAGATACAAATAATCGAGCTTGAAGAAGATGTGCTAAACCTCCACACTTCCAATCCACTACATGATCCTTCAGAACACTGGTTAAGCTTCAAGCTGTGATCGAAGCATTCAGTGTTAGCCCAGTTAAGTAACTCTGATGGTTCCAAGACATAGGCTGCCAGGGGATGAGGAAATCCTGAGCTCTAAATCCAGATTTGAGAGCTGAGCACGAGTCCTTTCCATGGAGGAAGGTGACTGTGATGATGGCATCTGTATTACTTGTTCTTGGCCTGAAGAGTTGAGATCGATTGTGGTAGTTTCAGAAGCTTTATGGCCTGCCATGGTGAGGGACAGAGTCGGAGCATGCAGCTCCGATGAGAAGGAAGCATCGTCTGACTTCGAAGAGGCAGTGTTGTGAGCTGCCCCCTCACAGTTTGCAACCTGAGGTACAACTTGGAGCAGAGTTAGCATTTGGACATGGATCTGCAAGGAAGCAAAACAGGAACATGAAATCTACCACATCGAAAAGGCTCGATCGACGCTTCTTCTTGTTGAGGCTGTTTTGTCTGAGAAAGTACTTCTGAGCATGGCTAGCAACCTGTGTTGGGGTCCTTGTGGTCACAAAGTTGCGGGAGATGCCTCGCCAATCTCCCTTTCCAAGTTTCTCGAGTCCAATAAGAAACGATCTGTGTTCTTCCTCGGTCCATGGCACTCCTATGAACCACAAAGATCGTTGAATCTTATGAACAACTTGGAAAAGCTAAGCTTAAGGATGCATCAGCTGCAGGATGAAATGATTGTCTTGGGAAACAAAAGATATGTCATAAAGATGAGATGTTCTTTACAATCCAGATAAAGGACATAAGCACCAGAAGAAATGAGCGAAGCAAGAACAAAGAACAAGATTCTTCCTGATGAGAGCAATGGAAGACGGAGAAGTGCTTCCGAGAAAGACTTACCCTTTTTCCTCTCCTGTGTTCTGCCACCAAGACCATCAGAGAGATAACCATGAGATATCTTCTGGGTGGCTTCATCTATGGAACCAAGAGAAGATGATGATGATGATGGGGAAGAGGAAGAAGCAGCAGGGTAAGTGTAGGAGAGACACTCCATGCTAAAGCTCTTCTTCAGAGGGGATGCCATGTGAAGCTGCACCCCAAAGAGCCTCACTCCACCTCCACCAACCATGCTGCTTCTTGTGTTGATACAAGTCCTGGAGTTGTGGCCATTGTGTCCACAGTGAGAACATTTCCTTACCATTCTCCACCTCTACAAACTCAATCCAAAATCCAGATACCCACAGGCCATAGGAAGGAGAGGCTATATAGTAGAGTTTGGTCTCAAGGTCAGATGTGGACTGAAAAGGCCAACCAAGAACAAGGGAGGAATTTTAGGTTAGGTTTCGTTTGTGGACAGACTTGGCATGGGGTGTGTCACCATAAAGGACACACACTTGCATGCCTGTTTTATTTAGCTTGTCTCCTTGATGATGGTGGGCATACAAATATACTAACAGATACAGGTGTGCCAAGTATCTCATACTCTTCTTCAAAGAATATCTCGTTGTCTCCAGTCATGCCACTTGTTTTGAAGAACAAGAATCTCTTTGTGGATTCTACAACATCCCTCAATATTATGTCAAATATAAATTCCAAATGATCTACATTCATGCAAGCATGACTCAAGTAGCACTGTCTTGCTTTCAGCAGCTGATAATGTAATCATGAAGCAATACAGAAGATCCTCAAATAGAATGACTACAAATTAGAGATGACTGAAAGAAGGGTGGAGGTTGCAATAGCACAGAATCCACCAATATTTTGAAGGTATAATAGCTGGATATCATATTATATTCTAAGGAAAGGAAAAAGAAGATTGCAGATGTTGGGGAGGCACTTTACCATCAAATTTGACATGTTATAACTTGCATTGTTTTTGGCACTGACCAAATCTCCAATCCTATAGGCAGTGCAGTTTTCTTTGACACTTTGACAGTGATGGCCATGAATCTGTTGCTTAACAAAAGAAAAAAAACAATTTGCAACTGGGAAATTAATTAGTGCATACAGGAGAAAATAATATGCACATCACAGGGATCCTATCCAGTCTCAGGTGTTGAACACACACTGAAAGAGGGCCACTGGTCTTTCATTAATAGGAAAATGTTTGTTTGGAATTGAGAAAACATCCTCAACTCTCTCCAGGAAATGTTGCATGAGAATCCTGTGGGCATTGTTGTTGTTGTCTTAACACATCAGTTGATTGGTTAGGTCACATGAAGTAGAATAAAGTAGAAAAGTATTCCTTCTAACACAACCAATGCATTAAGACCATGGATTCCATGGATGTGCAAAGATTTTTTGGTTCTTGCTTTGTCCCACCCAAAAGCAGAGTGCAATTCTTGTTCCAGCTCAGTAGCCACCATCACTTGGTAGCTTTCTTTTAAGTCCCATTTGAAGCCCCAACTTGCAGTACTCCTTGTACTACACAGCAACCCACCTGCTTTTCCATAATAAGATGGGGGATGTGATTGAGGAAGTTCCATCTGATGGACTTTGCTTTTGTGTGTCAGCTTTTCCAAGTGCTTTACTATTATAATGATTTGAGTTGGATTCTCTTTGAGGTAATTACTTTTGTTAGCACCTAATTGCAACACTTTATGTTGCCATCTCAAACAATTGGCAGATATGAAATGAGCATCCTTGTCTGTGACATCAATTAACATGCTTCTCTGGACAACTGAGAGATGGGTGCATGCTGCTGTTTAGAAAGAGAGAGCCAGTGTTTGATCTGCACCAGCTAAGAGAGCCATTGGAGTGGAGATTCCAAGACATGTATTGCTGCGTTGGTGATTTCAAATCATTCATATCCAAAATATTTAGGCTGCAAATAGTCCAAGATCTCACCAGAAAATATATCTGATATTTTTTTGGGAGATGTCCTAAGCACAGAACTTTCAGATTTCTGGATTTATGCTGCAGGTGTCTATTGCATGTCTTGAGATGTTGAACTTGCAACAACAACTTGTTGCCAAAGGAAATAGGAGGCTTTTGCTGAATAAAAGGGATAATTATTGGCCATCAAAAGACAACAGAATCACTTCAGTGTTGATAGCAATCAAATACTATGTGATGGAGAAATGGAAAGAATAAGATAAGATATACAAAGAAAAAGAATGAGAGACTATCAGAGAACATGACAAAGTCATATCTTGATAGGTGAGTCTTTTTTGCCAAACAAAAGAACCTGCACCACCACTTGGCAATAAAATGACCTCATCTTCCATTGGCCTCCATCATGCAATCAAAGGACATCAATTGAGCATCTCATTTGAGAACCCAATCCAGATAATATATGATAACTCACCCTGTCCATTAGCATCAGCTGCATTTGATTCTTTAAGCCATTTCATGGGTTTTTTTACTGTGCTTCTTATTGACTTGGAAAAGTTTGGGCTGCTTCTATCACAAACACTGGTGCACCAAATTGTTTTATTGTGTGATTCCAATAATGCAGTCAGGTGACCACACCATATGCTGCATTGTCAATGACAGTGATCACATCAAATTGTCTTTTGTCAGTGACAATGACAGTGACAGTGGTTCAGTGTGCTCATCTCTATGATTAAGAACACACAAACTGTTGCATTTGCAGCATGACAAGGAAGTCTCAAGTGTCCAACCAATCCCTTTTAATACTACTTGATTCACCTGAGATATTTGCAGGATCATATCATCTACTGCAGCCATGTATTCTCTTTTATCTGTTGCAGACCAAACAATGGTTCTCTATCTATTTCATCTGCTTCAGCCATATAATTTGCAGATGTATGTATCATCCATCTCTCTCCTCTCCTCTTCTGTGACCCAAAAAACTAGAACAAACATTTCCCCCCTCCATGATTCATCAACTGTGCAAGCTACAGAATGCTTTCAAAGTTGGTCTATGGATGCCTTGGATTCTTCCAACTTGCATTACCAAGTTGTCATGGAGGAAGGCACATCCATCACCATGGCCCATATGGGCAATGGCTTCAAGATCTAAACTGATGGAGGACAAACAGGAAAATTGCACACATAATTTCATATTTTGTTGTAGCTGGTAAAGAATTGTATAAACAGTTTATATTCCAAGAATACTGAAACTAAATTGTGTGTTTTTGCCTTAGAGAAGTGTGTACATAGTACAATTGTTCCAATACATTTTTGCATTATATGCATTGCATCAGACATTATATGCAGGTTAACTTACCTAATTAATGTTCAAAATCCCTATTAATGTTCAGGAATCAATATCTCTAAACTCTATCCTTAGTCAATACTTAAAATTAATTTCTTCAATTAAAGAATTTCCTAACTAATTATTTAATTCCATCTTCCTTGGCAGCTGAAATCTGACTCCTAGCAAGTGTTCATCTGAAACAAATTGTGCTATCATAGTTATCACAAGAAAAAGAAAGAAATCCTACTCACCATGGACTGTCAGTGGTTTGATGGTCATAAATTTGAATCCCTTCACTGTGGTTTAATTAGCTAAACATACAGTTCTTCTAATTGACTCTTATTATGAAAATTGTCGATCTATTTGACGATATGTATTTAGTTTCCAAGCCCTTTATATGTGATCATTCAATTTGTTTATAAGATTCCTTTGCGCCTAATAACATTATCGCACTTGCGATCTCGATTTTTATACTCCTCTAAAGCGATGATCTTTACGTGTTATATGATTTAGATAATTCTAGCTAAGTCTACGATAAAATGACATCTCGATCCATGCATGACACTGGGTTGTCATTCGGATGTCAACAGCATTCATCCAGATTACCTATGCTGGTTGAACGAGCAACAAAAGAACAGTGTTGAATGCAATGGTGATGACACAACAAGACATCTCACATCATGTTACAGCCAACAGCGACGACATACGTACGTCAACCTCACACAACAGAGACAGACAGACTCTCTTCTTCCTCGATCCATCGAGATGCATGCACGGGTCCTACGTACGTGAATATGTGAGGCGGCGTGGGTGGCTCACTTGCCGGGGACGAAGTTGGTGGCGTAGGCCCACGCATTGTTGTTGACGGGGTCGGCTAGGTGGTCGGCGAGGTTCTCCAGCGGGCCCTTGCCGGTGACGATGGCCTGAACGAAGAAGCCGAACATGGAGAACATGGCCAGCCGCCCGTTCTTGATCTCCTTCACCTTCAGCTCCGCGAAAGCCTCGGGGTCGTCGGCGAGGCCCAGCGGGTCGAAGCTGCCGCCGGGGTACAGCGGGTCGGTCACCTCCCCCAGCGGCCCGCCCGCGATGCGGTACCCTTCGACGGCGCCCATCAAGATCACTTGGCAGGCCCAGATGGCCAGAATGCTCTGTGCGTGGATCAAGCTGGGGTTGCCCAGGTAGTCCAGCCCGCCGTCGCTAAAGATCTGCGCCCCCGCCTTGAACCACACCGCCTCCCCGAATTTGACCCCGTTCCGGGAGAGCAGCTCCGGAAAGACGCAACCGAGCGCGCCCAGCATCGCCCACCGGGAGTGGATCACTTCCAGCTCCCGGTTCTTGGCGAAGGTCTCGGGGTCAGCGGAGAGCCCCGCGGTGTCCCACCCGTAGTCCCCGGGGAACTCTCCGGTCAGGTAGGAGGGAGGCTCGCCCGAGAACGGGCCCAAGTATTTGACGCGATCGGGGCCGTACCAGGGGCTGCCGGAGGCAGCGGCGGGCTTCGCCTTGGCGGCGCTCTTGCGCATGGTGACCCGACCCTCGCCCAGGATCTCGGAGACCGAGGGGGCGAGCTTCACCGCCTTCCCGGCGAGCGATGGGGAGGAGAGGGCCATCGTGGCAGCCATGGATGGACGACGGATGCGGTGGATTCCGACGCTGCTGTTGCTGCTGGTGGTGACGACGGAGAGGAGGTTGGCGTGCTTTTATATTGGAGGCAGCGAGATGTGGAGATAGAAGTCCTCATCCTACTAAAATCTTTACCAGTGTTTCTATTGGTCTGCGCTATTGTTGATTGCCTTATTATGCTGACGTGGCAATCTCAGATGCTTTAGATTTTTTTCTCTCACTCAGAAATCTTCGATCTATCATTAAACATCTCAAGTGGGGTCTCTGAATAGGCGCTGCCAATTGGAACGTGACACATGTGCGTTTGTGGATGGGTCGGATCAGGTTGAGTTTGGGTCGGTATACTGTGTAGTCCTCATTTGAGCCTGATCAGATCCACATTGGGTCGGACCCAGATGCAACAAAGCGGGTTTACGGGCCAACCCGGTCGATCCGACCCGACTAGATATCCGCCACATACAAAAGCGGAAGGGTATATGAAACGACGTCGCTCTCCTCGGAACGACGCATCAAATTACAATAATACTTATTGCCACCAACGCCCACAGTATTCTCCCTCTCTTCTAAACCCCCAGCGACTCGATCCTCCTGCGAAGGCTATCGCGATCTCCCTTCTACGGTCTCTTCCCGAGTTCGATACGGAGGTACTTTGGTTCCATCTTAACACGATTTTTTGAAATTTCTTTGGATTTCTCGTGTTCTTTCGTTTTGCCAAGCATCCGTTCCTCTGCAGATTTGGGCCTTTTTATCACTGTCGGTCTAATTCTCTCAGTTAGAAATTCTCCTGCTCTTGCTTGATCTTTCTTCCCATCTCAATCCATAACCAAAAGCTTGTTCTTTTTTACTCAATAATGTCGTGCTCTTCTATTAGGGTTCTTGTGGTAGATTAGTCTGTCTGGTTTGTTGAAGCGGTGACGACATGTGAGAATGCCGTGATTGTCGTTGTGTAGGAGATGGCGTCGAAGCTGCACCAGTTTGGATCCAAGGCAGTTCAGGTCTCGGAATTCATTTCCAAGCATGGAAAAGCTTACTATGAAGAGCTGCTCGAGAAGAACAAGCAGCACATTGTTCAACCACCAACCATCGAGGCGTGCCAGGATCTGTCGAAAAAGCTCTTCTATACTCGTCTTGCGAGGTGAGTGTTCATTGTCTGTGCAGCATTGTTGATTTAACTGTTCGTTTAGGCCATTTGTATGTATTGATATCAGAAGTAGATGATTTTAGTGTGAAGGTCCGGTCCTGATGGGAAAATTTGGTTGAAAAGTATGAGAACTCTTGAGTAGTTTGAGTTTGAATATTAACTCAACTTTAAGTTTTAGTAGCTACACTATGTATGATTTAGATAGTCATAAAAGTAATCAATTTGATCTGGGAAAGAATGCCAGAAATTCTCAGAATTTCTTTTTAGGTGTTATTATATGTGATAGTCGAAGAAAATATCTGCTCGGCCTGTTGAGATTGAGGGTAGTGTGTAGATGAGAAGAGAATTGGAGAATGAGTGTATTCCCTTTCTTGGATTGACGGCTAGGAGGGATTCGAACAGTAATGGGGAGAATGTGGGATAAACCAATTATCTGTGAGAATCCTTTTCGTTTCTCCCTGTAATTGGAGAGATTTGGAGAGAAACAGATTGTACAGATTTTTATGTTTCCTCACTTGCCTAAGCCTTCTCTTATTTCTTTTCTCATTATTTAATAAACTAAACTGTAGAGAAGAGCTTAGTTCTTTTTTTTTCCTCTCCTCTGTCCAAAGTAAGAGAGTTATAGTTGCTTCTTACGTTCCTCTTCTCTTTTCTTTTCTCCATAAGTTGTTATCCAAGGTTCCTTATGATGAACAGGATACACATGTATATTATATTTAACAAATGCTATTATCCAATTATTTTTTATTTTTTTGATGTTTGCATTACTCCTGGATTTGAAATATTTTTCTTCACTTAGTTTTAATGGACATGTTTTTATATGTTTGAATCCCTCATCAAATGACACCAACTAGATGATGCATGACTAGCACCATGGGTTTGATTACGTTTTGATTGGTTACCATCATATTTCTTTTCTGTCTTTTGTAAAGTTCTGTAGCAATTACCTAATTTTAGTGAGTGGAAAAAATGGTACGTTTGTGTGAATGAGGTGGGTTAATGCACTTAAGTGGTGCTGTATCTATTTCTAATAGAGAGATCTGCTCAGGTCATAATGATCCACTGAATTTATCAAAAGGATGAGCAGATGGACCCTAGAGAGATCTGCTCAGGTCATAATGATTCACGGAATATATCAAAAGGTTGAGTGGATGGACCCTAGAGTTGGTTCATAAACTGATTTCACATGTTCTTTAAACTTTATAGTTTAACTCGTTTAAGATATGAGTTGGCCAGATTTGCTCTTTGATCACATTAGAGCCCCCCAATTAATTGTAATGTTTGCGGGTTTTAGTTGCTGCATAGTGCAGCATATAATATAACTCAAGGTGTACACAGCATTATATGTTTGTAATATATTTTGATTTTTTTTTCTTTTGCGTCGAGTATGATGCAGGGTGTCGTATTAACAGGGAGTTCGATAAATTCTCTTTCCTTTTGTATAAGCTAGAATCTTTGTGAGTCTTGTTCATCTTAAGCATAAAAACTGACTAAAACTAAAAATAAGCTTAATTTTATCTTCCTATTGCTTTGAGGATACATCATAGATGCAATTGACACTCCTGCCCAAATCAACACTAATGATTTGTATGGATTTCACAATCATAGAAACTCCATTACCCTGTTGATGTTGTGCATTACCTTTAGGGTATATCGTTGTCTTATGAGATGTGATAGCATATTATTCTATGAAACTTGCGAATTTGTGCTTTGATAGTAGGAATCATCAAAGTATACCATGCTTTGTCTCTGGATGTTAGTACCTCAGTTAAATAGTTAATATAACAACCATGGCATGTGCCAGGCAGCATATTGATGGTAGGTCTGCATGTCTTAAAATTAAGGATTCTAGAAAGTAAAAACCATATTCACTGGTATTTCTGGTCCGATCCAATACTGACTAACCACAGCAAACTAACACCAAAATGTCGTGCCAATCCAATAATTGAACATATTTTTATGGGTCATTTTTTATATCCTTAGTTAGAGAACTTTCCTAATAATTTTTTTAATGTTTTACAGCCAGCAATGTGTAACCTTAATCAAGGTTCGCAATACCGTATCGTACCGGAGTTTCGACCTGGGCTCGGTACCGGTACGGTACGGTATACCGCTCGGTACACCCAGGTGTACCGAGTGGTATATTCATGCGTGCCGAGCACTGTAGCAGTACTACAGTGCTACAGTACTGCTACAGTACCGGACCGGTAACAGGCGGTCCGCGTACCGGAAGCCTGTCGGACCGGTACGTACCGCCCGTACCAGGCGGTTCGGACCGGTACGTACCGCCCGTACCAGGCGGTTCGGACCGGTACTGCAGACCATGACCTTAATAACATAAAACAAACCAAACATTTTAGAGCTGTTTGTTCATTAGGTAAACAAAGTAGTATAATTTCATATTTCTTTGTTGTTTTCTCTATTCATGCAATTTCTTCTCTCAGATTCTTGTACAGCATCCTGTTTCTTCTTGAACTTCCTCCCTCAAGTTTATAATTGCCTCTCTGCATCTGAAGTTGATTTTTCATAGTTATCAAGAAAAAACCATCTCGGTATCCTGATGCCATTCTTCTGCAGCATTCCTGGTCGTTTTGAATCCTTCTGGAAGGAGTTGGATGGTGTGAAGCACATCTGGAGAAACAGGAAGGAGTTCAAGGTCGAGGATGCTGGCATTGCTGCTCTGTTTGGACTCGAGTTATATGTGTGGTTCTGTGGCGGTGAGATAGCGGGAAGAGGTTTCACTTTTACTGGCTACTATGTCTGAGCAAGTCGACCTCTGAATCTCTTCATGTTTTCCTGCTTCTAAGAAGACGAAGACCCAATCAGGCTTCTGATCACCTCACTCTTGCAAAAGTTTTATAAGCTGGTGGTGAGTGAGAATGACGAGCATAATTGCCTCAATAATCAGCTCGCTTCTTTCTCCTGTCTGTTTTACATGTGTTGGCTGTAGTCAAATACACTTGCACTAACTGACCTCACTCGATCCAATGCGACTAGGTTGGATGACATTGTACATCGTTCTAAAGATCTTCAAGCCAACTCTAAATTTGAAATCATCTGTTTTTCTAAAGATCTTGATGCTTACTTCTGGTATGACATTGTACATCGGTCTATTATTGTTGTATGGTGTACCAAATAATGAAACAAAGAATGCTTTCAAGTTCTACCCTATCTAGAGCATTGCGACTTGTTTCTTGCTTTATCTAACTTAGATGATACGATAACATATACCCTATGAATGATAGGGTATATGTTGGTCATGTGGAGGTTGGCGTGATGTAAGAGGTTCTTCGACCTTAGAAAGGACCTCAGACTATCATGGCTATCTTGGACCCACCTAATAACCACCTCAGTGATGCGAACAAATATTAGTAAATCGTAACACGCAGCGGAATTAAATGGAATCACAATCAAATAGAACACCAAGATTTACGTGAAAAAATCCCTCCAACGTGAAGGGTAAAAACCACGGGACAAACTAGAGATAATACATTATAAGAATAATGAAAATATAAATCTTAGAGTTTTTTGCTCAAAATCCAAGCAACAATCTAAAGAGAATAACCGGGATATAAGGATTACGTCACTGTGCATAATATCCAAATTCTCCCCAAGTAATCACGACAAAAATTTACTACAGATCTAATATAACCTAAGATGAGAATATTCCTAAGATGAGAATATTCTGCCTATATGATTGAGAACAGTCTCACTACGTTGTCCCTGTCTTCTTCCCTTTCCTCTCTTGTTTTTCTGTCATTTTCTCTTCTTTATTGAATTAAGTTGCTGTTGCAATTTTCTGCCTCGTTGCTGTAGTTTTCTCCCCTATTTTCGCCGCCAACACACCCCCCTATTAGATCTAGGGTTATATTAAAGGGAAGGTGGGCTATGGGATGAATTCGTGGGTTGTCAGCCTAACACTCGGATCTATTTCGGACGCTCTTATGCCTTCGGGTTTGGACCACCGGGTTGACTCGGGCATTAATGATGATTTGCCTTAACATTTTGACGCTAGAAGGAGAGTCTGATGTTGTAGGAACGTCTACTCACCAATCTACTCAATGAATGCTCCTACAATTAAGCCCTACCTCCAATCCATAGTACTTTTACTCAAGGTGGTCAGATGTCATCCTTCCCACATGTGGATGCATCCACGTCGATGTGATATTGTTTATTTAATGACCTAGGTCTCTCATCCCCGAGGACGAGTTTGAGCCACTACTCAACCCCACAAAGGTGTTTTTGAACATCACTTATCAAATGCAGACGCTCACGGGCATAATGCAGGCTATCACCTCGCTCCTGCCTCAACTAACCCAATAAGCGATGCCACCATCTCAACCACGATTGACACCTCAACTGCCACTGACATCGGCACCCGTCGAGATTTCCCCAACCGATGCGATACCAGTATCTAAGGATCACCCAAGGCTCACGAAACTGCCAGCCAAAGGAGCACCCCACTCCCCAATCGTGGAGTTCAATGCATGCCACACCACTACTCTACTCTACTCGAATTCGAGACCCAATTAACGAATTTGATGGATGACTTCCTGAGGGCTCAATTACAATAAATGGATTAACGCTTAGACGAGATGCGACAAGAGTTCCAATAATCCAGGGGGGAGAACCCGGTTGATACCACTTCGGGTCGAGCCTCATTCACTTAGAACATCCAAGAGAAACCAATCCTGACTAACTTTCACCTCCCATTACTAGAAGCCTTCGATTGACAATAGTAACTTGATTGAACATACTATTGCCTTAGTGCCTAGATGTCTCTTTACAATGTCTCATATGCTCTGTGCATTCTTGACGATGCTGAGAGGTCGAGCATAGGAGTAGTACACTCATCTGATGCCACTCTCGATCGGCTCCTTTGCTCAGCTTGCAAAGGAGTTTAAACTCTACTTCCTTGGGAATATATGCTGAGGCCATTGGTGGCAATATTGCTCGGGCTCAGGCCAAGGGGAGAAAGAGACACTCTCCGACTTCATTACTTAATTCACCAGCAAAATTTAAGGTGTACAAGAAGCTCCTTCGTGATTCAGGCCTTAATGATGGGGCTTTGGCTCTCTTACTTTTTCTAGTCATTGGTGTAAAGGTCATTGATGATCATACTCGAAATCTTTCAAAGGACCAACCAATATATAGTCGCCAAGGTTTGCCTCAAGTAAGCCCAAGAGATGTACAAGAGGCCATGACATGAGTGACCACCATTAACTCCAACCCTGAAGTCACCTCAACAAAGAAAGCAAGACCAACCTGAGCTTGCCTCAACCGAGACCCGAGCTAAATCCCCTTAACATGACGATAACCAAGGCCTTCTTACAGATAAAGGAAAAGCAGTTCTTGAAGGACCCTCAACTGATGTAGACACCATTATAAAGGAGGGACAGATCCAAATTTATTGCTTCCATCGTGTTTATGGATATGACACGAAAGGCTGTCATGATTTAAAGGAACAAATCGAGGAGTTCATTTGTTGGGAGCGCCTTGGAAGATTCATCCGAAGACCTCAAGAACCTTCACCCTGACCTTGGGGCCTAGTAGAAATATATATTGACGTTATCATCGGTGGACCTACTTTGGAAGGCAACAACACCTTAGGTCGCAAAATCTATGCTTGAGTCACATCAAGAAGTTTCCAAGGTCAGAAGACGACTCAAAAATAATCTTCAAGAAAGAAGAGACGAAATACCTCTACCCAAACTATGATGATACCCTGATAGTCTTCATAAGGATGACTAATGCCCGAGAAAAGAGGGTAATGATCGACACAAGTAGCTCTATTGACATTTTCTACTTTGATGCTTTTCAAATGCTTGAGCTCTCAGCTAATGATTTTACCCCCATGACTTCTTCGCTAATGGAGTTTGTGGGTGACTCCAACTCCCCTCTCGGGACCATGAGCTTACACATCATGTTTGGTGATGAACCCTACTCAAAAATGCTTATGACTAAATTTATGATGGTTGACATCTCCTTTGAATACAACACGATCATATGTCAACCCACACTCAATAGGCTAAGGGTTGTAGTGTCGACCTATCACATGATGTTAAAGTTCCCAATAATAATCGATATTAGGGAGATAAGGAGCAATCCAAATGAGTCTTGCTAATGCTATCCGATGACAGTCTCCTTACCGAAGAAGGCTTGACTTGAGGCACCACCATTGGTTTCCGAAAATTTTGCTAAGCCCCTCCCACATCTGGAGCCAATGGAGTTGTTGGTCGAGGAACCTCTAGACAAAGCCCATCTTGATATGGTCATTAAGGTCAGGGCAATACTCCCTAAGGAGAAGCAAGTACAACTCATCGACTTTCTTAAGGAAAACACCGAGGTATTCACATTATCACTGAGAGATATACCAAGAATAGACCCTAACGTAGCCCAACCTGTGATGCAAAAGTCTCGCAAGTTTGCTCCCGAATGCCAATATGCGATTAATGATGAGGTGAACAAGCTACTATGGATAGAGTTTATTGCGTAAGTACAGTATCCCAATGACTTGCTAATGTTGCATTAGTTAAAAAATCTAATGAAAATTAGAGAATGTGTTAATTGCATCAATTTCAACAAAGCATATCCGAAGGACAATTACCCTCTTCCCTAAATTGATCAATTTGTTAATGCTACTTCGGGTCATGAGTTCCTCACCTTCACGGATATGTTCTTGGGATACAATCAAATAAGAATGACATCTTGGGATTGGAAACATACCTCATTTATCATGAATCTAGGCATATATTATTACATAGTTATGCCATATGGATTAAAAAATACGAAACGACCTATCAAAGAATAGTGAATAAAATATTCAAGTACCAGATCATGAGGAACATCGAGGTATATATAGATGATATAATAGTCAAAGTTAGAATGACTGACTCACACCTAGTGAACTTGGCCAAGATATTTTAGGTTTTGAAGATATATAACATTCACCTTAACCCATCAAAGTGTGCTTTTGGAGTTTGCTAAGAAAATTCTTTAGCTTCATTATTCACTGAAGGGGAATAGATGTAAATACTAAAAAGGTCCATGTCATATTTGGAGATGTATCCATCTCGATCGGTGAAGGAAGTGCAGTAGTTAATAGAGTGAATGGCAATGCTTAGCTTGTTCATATCATAGTCCAGTAACAAGTGCTTGTTGTTCATTCAGCCATTGAAAAATTTAAAAGTTTTTTTTTGGATTATAGAGTACCAGGAGGTATCTGAGGAGTTGAAGCACCATCTCACTCAATTGTCACAGCTCTCCTCTTCCAATCTTGGTGAAGTCCTTAGCCTCTATTTTGCTATCACCGAGCATGCTGTCAACTCGGTGTTGGTGCAGAATGATTGAGAAGTCCAAAGACTCATTTATTATGTTAGCCAAATAACTAAGCAAAGTCAATGAGCGATACCCTCACATCGAGAGTTTGGTTATTGCATTAGTATTGTCTATAAGGAAGTTTCATCCATATTTCCAAGCGCATCCCATACAGGTAATCATCGATCAACCACTCAAGTAAGTCCTTTCACAATTTAACATCTCATGATGGATGCTGAGGTGGTCGATAGAGCTGAGCAAGTTTGACATCTGATAAGTACCAAGAGTTGCCTTGAAGGCTCAAACGTTAATGGATTTCATATCGGAGTAACCCCCTTGCCCGAGGTCGAAGCCGACGAGTGCATCCCCTCGACCTGGACCTTGTTCATAGATAGTTCTGCTACATTGGAAAGGAACAGTTCTGGGCTTGTCCTAAAATTTCAAACAAATGGGTGTACGAACAAACTCTTTGATTTGAGTTCAAAATCTCAAATAATGAAGTCGAGTATGAAACACTTCTCTCAGGGCTCCGACTCACCTGGGAGCTCCAAGTGCAAGACATTACGATGTTTAGTGACTTATAACTCGAGACCATTCAAAGTACCATGCCGAGGTGCAATTGTTAGCTCAAATCTTCTCTAGACTCAATGTGCTATGGGTCACCCATGCAGAAAATACTTTGACTGATGCGCTTGCTCAGTTAGCCTCCACCCAAGCTCCAAGAGAGGGCTGATCGATAATCAAGATGCTATCAACCTGAACCATCGAAAGACATGATGTAACCACAGGTGAGGAGGAACCAAGTTAGATCAACGAGATCTTACGCTATAAAAGAGATAAGACATTCCCTGTTGACCCCACAATAACTTGAAGGGTTAGGAATTATCAAGCATAGTATTATATAATTAATAACCACATATACCGTAAGTCCTTCAACCAACCCTTAGGTGTCTCACATCGTTGGAAGCTGAGAGGGTGCTCGTCAAGATACACTAAGGTATTTGCAGGCAACACATATGTGGATGCTACCTTAAATTCAAGGTACTTCGGTAGGGGTTCTATTGGTCGACATTACATAAGGATATAATTGCCTACTTCCAAAAGGTTCTACTAGTGTCAAAGGTTTGCTCAAGTACAACACCAGCAAATAATCCCTCTAAGCCCGATCGATTACGCATGGCCCTTCGCTCAGTGGGGCATGAACCTCTAAGGTCCCTTTCCACCAGCTTCCAGCCATAAGAGATTTCTCATCATAGGAGCAAACTACTTCATAAAGTGGGTGGAGGTCGAGAAACTGGAGAGTCTTCATCACCGATAATATGACTCAATTCAATAATATGAATTCAAAGAGTTTTGGTCGTCCTACGAGATTCAATTGTGGTTCAGCTTGGGAGCTCATCCTCAAACTAGCGACTTTAATAAGATCACTAATTAAGTCATCCTCGAAGGATCAAAGAAGAGAATCATAGTAGCGAAGGGTAGTTAGGTGGATGAGTTGTCAAATATCTTGTAGGCCTTCTAGACAACACCCAAGACCGACTTGAGAATCATTATTCAGCCTAACCCGAGATAGTCCGATCCTGATTGTCAAATGAAGCAGTTAGCTTCCCGAATACTTCAATATTAGTGTCAGCTTGAACAATGTCTTAAAATTTCATGATGATTACGTCTACATTGGATTTGCATCTGCATCGGACTGTCCATCTTGAATTCACAGGAATTCCCGATGGGATGTGCTTCATTCACCACAACAGGACGATCTTGACCATCGGATTAAGGGGTAGCTTCTTGCATACTTTATGATTCGTGCACCACCATCATCGACCGTCTCTTTATCTAACGAGGGCTAGATGGTCAGTATCAGCCGTTTGATATGGACCCGATGGTCCAGGATGAGTTAAAAGGATGTAACATCTGAATACAAAGCATCCGAACACCCAATGATTCTTCTTCATTCCTGATATAGCATGGATGGTGTTGAAATGCCAAACTACTGCTTCAAAGGAAACACTCATCAGCTTAGCAAGCTCTCATGTCATCAATGACAAATAAGAAAGCCAGAACTACAGAAGAAATGGGACGAAGGAGAAAAGACTTGATGAGCACCAATTTCTGAAATGCTTCATATACCATCATCTGTCCCCAGTTTCTGAACATATCACTGTTAGACATGTTATAAACATTCACCTGAGGTCTATGAATTTGGCAGAGAATAAACCTATTTGAAGAAAATGCAAAGATGCCTTTTGACTACGATGCCTCTGTCATAATAGAAGCTTATTTATTCATGAAACCATCAGATGAGGGACCTATGGCTTGACCTAATGCCACATTTACATGTAGTCTCACAATTAGTGATATCTCTAAATGTGTCGACGAAGTGCTGTTATCACAGAATAGAGCTTCCTCGGTTAGCAGGGTCAGGCGATTCGTATCCCCAGGGGTTCTTGCTAGCCCAGTTCCATTGATCATGGCACATCTCTTCGATGCCATACTTCGCTCTGCAGTAGCAATAGTTCCAACACTAAGACAAGAAACTAACCAACGTAAACCAGAATTGCATGAACTAAAAGCATAGAATATATACTTCCAATTGAGTTCCTTTTCTGCTTTGGCGGTGGATGCGTAAAGAATTTCAGCATCACCAGGTCGCCTTCCAGCCATGATCAAAGGAATTTTCTGAAAAGAAAAACACAAAATCTTGTATCAGCAACTATAGAAGAGACAAAATGCACAACAAACTCCATGTAGCTAGGTTGGTCTCCGATCTGGAACCCTTCAGCCAGTCATAGATAAAAATGATGCATTTCCCTTAAGAGCATAAATTTGAATAGCTAATCATCATTTAGTTTTCTTGAGAAATTCATGATATACAACTTGATATCAGATTATGCAGACACTGAACATGATTGATCTCTGAACTACAAACTTTTACCCGTTAACAGTCTCTGCCACAAAACAAAAAAGTTTAAAAAGCTAATTAGTATTCAATCATTTTTCAAAAGATCATGTGTCGAGTGTACCTTTCCAGATGCCTTCTCAAAAGCTGCCACCATTTCCAGCACTGATGTTCCCTTTCCAGTCCCTAGATTATAAACTTCACAACCTGCAGCTTGCATAACATAGTAAGATCACAGAGAGCAAGATCGTGACTAGCTAGTAGGATCCAATACATGAGTTACACTCTAATAAAGCCAAATGGTGATGTCATCTGGTTTGAAAAATCTGATGATTAGACATCAATGACAAAGTATAAAGACAACTTGTTAACACAAAAGTCTTTTCCTTAATCAAACACCTCAGTTGAAGATGTTATCTTTTGCCTGTATTTTATCTATAATACTTCAAACTCTTTCTACTCTGGCCTAAAAGCAATATCAGTATCAGATTGAGATTTTTAATCCTCAATCAAAACATGGACAGATCATTAACAAAGTTAGTTTTTATTTTTCCCAAACAATGTCTAATTTTATCATCAAAACTCACTAAGTAGTGTTTCATCCTAGGGCAATCCTAGCTTCCTATCAAACCAAAGTGTGGCCATACACATGGCTAATAGCTTAGATTTAGAAGTTCAAGAATTAGTGTCAGGAAAAGTTGGTGTAAACTTTATTTCCTAACAAGTTACTTTTTTAAAAAAAAATTTAACTACACTGAATGACTTTAGTACATGTAGTGTATATAATAAAAGTGTAAACAGTAATCATAGGCAAATTTAGTGGATCCAGATTGTTGTGATCAAGAAACGTGCAAATACTATTTCTGCCAACAGATAAATCAAGAGATACTCTTGCTACAAACATTCAGTGTGTTGCATACACACCTACGCTGGGGTCATCAAAGAGCTTCTGCAGGGCCGCAATATGCCCATCTGCTAAATCAACAACATGGATGTAGTCCCTTACCTGCAGTCATCTAAACATGTCTATAAGAAGAAAAACTGTGATAAGAAGCACTTAGATGATAGAAGCCTTTTGCCCATGAACCTAATGCAGTTTGTACATCTATCATGATAATACTAATACTCTAATAGTTAAGGTATTTAGTTGTGACACATCCAACAAAAGCAGTAGCTATAGTACATCAATAATACAGAGAGGGAAACAGGGAATCAAATATTGGTTAGACCAGTATGATCCAAGCATTATTTACCAGTTCTTGATTGGATTAGTACCAGGCAGGTACATGTTAGCACTTTTTTGGTAATACCAAGCAATATATTTTGGTATGCTGCTCGACATATTGGCATGTACCAATCTGACAGGTTGCTAAAACTGAGTGGACTAAGAATTAAGAATTAAAACCTTAATAATGAAAGCTTAAAAGGTTGCAACAGTTAAGTGTGAAATGCAGTGTGCACCATAAGCCGTATAAAGCAAGAGAAATGATGCCGTTAGATCAAGTTTTCACTATACCGATGTACGACAAAATTTCTACATGTAGATGAACAAGTTGACACAAAAAGATCAAAAATCAAGTGAAAAATAATGACATTTCTAAATTAGTTTATTACCCCTGTGCCATCCTTGGTTGAATAGTCATTTCCAAACACTGTTAATGCGGGTCTCCTCCCAACAGCAACTTGCTGGACAACGGGCATGAGATTATTGGGAATTCCGCGAGGATCTTCACCAATACGTCCACTTGGATGAGCTCCAACAGGATTGAAATATCTTAATAACATTATCTTCCATTCATCATCTGCATGATGGATATCACGGCATATATCTTCAATCATAAGCTGCAATTATTTACATAAAAAAAATTAGATCACAGCAATAGGGCCAAAAGAAATTTAAAAAAAAATCCAGGCAAAGAAAAAAGAGGAAACCTTTGTTCGGCCATAGGGATTCATTGCACATAAAGGGGATTCTTCTGTACAGGGCAACTCCTTAGGCCATCCGTAAACAGTAGCAGACGATGAGAACACCAGCTGAAATGTTTAAAATACAAGTCATCCAAATGCTTCCAGTTGTAAGATACATATACATCCAGGCTACAGAATTTATATTAAGACGTAACCTTATACATAAACTATGGTTTATACTGCTGATACCAAGATCCATTTGGACTGGTAGGTACTGCCCAGCATAGTACCGAGATCAGTTAGTACACCTCAAACATATAAGAAAATGTTTAACGTCATTATTTCGTTAGTACACAATGGTACTGGTGCAACTAATACTGGTAGACCAGTACATAGCAGATGGTACAGCCAGGGTATGGCAAGAATCTAAACCATGATATCAACAACTGATCTTTTTAATGCTAAGATTTTTAGATACTCGAGAAAGATGCTATAAGAATACCATCCTTTTCCTCTCCACTAACCAGTGATAAATGTTTATAGCAAAAAAAAAAAAAACAAGGCAGAGCCACACCTTGTGCATGTGGACTTAAAAACAAATAAGGATAATTGCAATACGAATGCTAAGAGGAGAACATAATCCAAAAGATTCACAAGAATTTCATAAGGGTAACTTCTATCACGAAAAAAATTATAAAGATGCAAATGTACATTCAGCATGTACAAGCATGTCTCCTTTTGCCTCTGCAAGAATGCATTTATTGGAACAGCATAGGACCTCTTCCTTTTCTGTAAGATAATCATTTCTAGAGGTTTGACCATTGAGTTACATATCTGGCCATATAGGAAGTTGTCTTGCTAATATAGCCAAGCATGAAAGATCTATGCGAATAACCATTCAGCATGAGACAGTTTTACTGTCTTTTAAAAACCAAAATCTTGGCTGGTAAATAATATTGTTTAAATTTCAGACAATACCTTTTTGCACCCATGTGATGCCATTACTTCCAAAAGAGTAATTGTACCAATGATGTTATTTTTGTAATAAAGCAAAGGTTTATGAACACTTTCACCTACAGCCTTTAGACCAGCAAAGTGTATAACAGCATCAAACCTGCAGATAAAACCATATTTCAATTTATAAAGCATACACGAACAAATTAGAAAATTACAGAAAGCACTCCACAAATATTCACGTTAAAGAAATGAAAAGAAATATAAAAAGGAAGACTCCATGACTGTAAGTCTAACACGATGCCCATATCCATCTCCAGTTGATGTTTTAAACTGTTAATTATTTTTTTCTAAATTCCTAATCATTAGATGGGTAGTTATTTAAACCAATGTTATTAAGCTTATAAGAAAAACAGGGGTTGAGAAGGGGCATGGAGAGCTATATACAGCCATAGCAAAGACAAACTTGACTTAGAATTAATTCTAGTTATTTAAACCCATGTTATTAAGCTTATAAGAAAAACAGGTGGTGAAAAGGGGCATGGAGAGCTTTATACAGCCATAGCAAAGACAAACTTGATTTAAAAATTAATTCTTTAAGTATGTTAGCCCCAACTTATAGCATATCTTGTCAAAGCGACATATCAAATAACATTGGAATTTCAGTATTTTCCATGGGAAGACCCTAACATTCCACTTCTGCAATAAAGATAGCTCAATTATCTGCTTTGCTCACCCAAAATTGTGCAAATGTGAGGCATATAAAAAGATACATGAAAAAAAACACCACAGAAAGCTTATTACTCCAAAGTTTTTGTTAAACAAATAATTTGTAAAATAATTACAAATGCTACTGCCAATTTACAAATTATCAGTTGTCAAACATGGCCCAAAACCTATTATTACTCATCACAGCTCACCTTCATGAATCCAATCAAAATGTTACTAAATATATGCATTCTTGAATTTACAGAATCAATCACATGAATAATCCAACATCACCGATAACTAAATAACTGAGGCACCTATCAAATGTAAAGGCAACCAAAACAGCTAAGTATATTCTGCAAGGAAAGAACTTACTTTGTTGAAGCAAAAACTGTTTCTAATGCTTCTCTATCCCGAATATCAATCTGCAAAAGCACAGCATACATTGAAATATAATCCATGGAGAAACATATTTAGCGGTTTTGCACTCACTATAAAGTATTATCAAAGCCAAGACAACAACAAGATTATTTATATAATATACAACATCAAAGAAGAACACCTTCACAAGTCAAGGCTATCTTGATATAATCTTCTTGATGGTTGAGACCAGAAATTATGATTTCTAAAAATATCAATATTTCATTTTCCGTGGAATGTTACCTATGGACCAGGAGTTTATTTAAATAAACAACTGAAAATAAAAGGTCAAAACTAACAGTCAAACAGTACAGCAACAAATAAAATAGAAGCTAACTGTTTCATCAGATTCTTCGAGGTAAAATAACATGTGCAAGTATTACAAGGATTTATTCCATGCTGTCAGTGCAGATTATATCCACAGCTTAAGGTCATTCAAAGCAAGGTGGAAGTACGTATGCAGGTAAGGTCGAGTTGAATAATTCTGCAACTACAAACAATACAATTTCTGTGAACAACTGAAAATAAGAATAATTGGTAAATATGGTAGCAAACAACCCATCTCATCTTCCCCCTACAAGACAGCACCAAAACAAACAATTATATCTGCTGAACAAACAGCGAGTATCCAAGGCTGGAAGCAAAGAAGATATGCGTAAACAGATTTGCCTCTCTTGGCGCACCCCCATCAGGGACGCCATAAACAACTCAAAGAGTAAAACCTTTCCGAGGAATGTGTTCTTTTAATGAAGATGATAAAGAACGCCCTCCAGATAAAGATGATCAAACTCTAGATACTGTTGTTGTCACTTTGTTTTTCGCTCCCTCTGCCTCGAAAGCAAAATTTTGTATTGCGTCCCTAATTCTGTGATTTTCTATTTGACATATTTCTCGCCAAATCATATCTTACACGCCTACAAAAACAAGCGGCACACGAGAACCCTACGTGTACAAATCGACACATTAATTTGTGCAAGTCAGGCGAATTTTCCTTTATTTTAAGATTTTTTGTAACAAATCAAACCACATCCCCTTAGGATGAGCAATCTAACAGTAGTCGTGATGTCTCCGTGATCGAAACGAAGAAAACCAAATGCATAATCAGGAACTAAAAGCTCGATTCTGCTCTGGCTTTGAGGGATGGGAGAGAACGGAAAGCCAAATCTTCGCAAACAGGAAACCCCAACATATCTAAAATCGGCCATTAAATGAGAGGTATCAGCGAACCAACCACATCCACCAGAACCGCAAAACCCAAAATGCAATCTCCACGGTCCAAACCACACGGTGATTACCTGATAAACGCTCAAGTTTTTGCCGTGGTCGCCGGCGAGTTCAGCGACGCGCTGGACGGCGACCTCGGAGGAGTTGTCGAGGTTATCCACCATGACGACGGTGAACCCCTCGAGGAGGAGCTGCAGCACGGTGTGGCTCCCGATGTAGCCCGCGCCGCCCGTGACCAGCACGCGTCTCGACATGGCCGGGGGGCAGGGACTCGAGGCGGCGGCGACGGACCGATCGAGGGAAAGCGAAACGATAAGGTAGATACCGCGGAGGAGGGGTGAGCGAGCGCAAGAGGAAGCCAGGGGATTTTGGAGCGGAACGCAGCGAGGGAGACTGGGTTTATATACGAGCGGTTCGCTTTGGCTTCGTTTCAGCGGCTAAGACGAGACGATCGGCGATAACGACTCTCGAATTGCCGAGCAACGGGGATAGTGTGCGTCGTCGACGGGAATACTCCCAATGGTGGGCCCCGATGCTAAGACCAAGTAGAGGGCTGGTAATCTAGCGGGTACACATAACTCTCTGGAATTGTCCGGCAAGAAAAACAAAAGAAACGTTTTCTTCCTCGTTTGCAGGACACCCGCCAGCGTACCTCTCTTGCGAACGGAAGGTTCTTGTGGGCTCCGCTATGATGGTTAGCAATTGCGGTTTGTGGTGGGGTTTGGGCAAACGGTGGTGGAAAAGGTGGGGAGGACGACGCGTGTCCCTCGAGATGGTGGACGGCGGCGGGAAGAGAAAGGGCAGGAAAAGCGTTGTGGCCTATTCGAAATGGAGGCGCAACGCGGCAAGCATGTACGGTAATCCAATTCGGCTGAACACCATGCTGACGACGGTAGAGCTTCTCGAACAGCAGATTACCTTTTAGTCCTTCCTTCTCCAATTAATTAGGCCTCACAAGTCATTTTACCCTTCATAAATCTTCCAAGTATACGTAGAACAAAACCATGCTAGAGTTAAGAATGTGCATAATTAAAATCATAAACAATGAAAAATATATTATTATTATTCTCTCTTATTATGCATGTCACAGACAGAGTTAGCCCAACAACCAGTAGCATACATATTGTTCGGCTGCTGAGATCTGTGGCTGACACAATGGAAAGGACGACTGGGTTGAGAGAGACAAGAAGATGGAGGGAGGTCATTATCCTTAGCTTAAGAGGTCAGAAACGAGTGGTGGGTTGCAGGCCTTCGAAGTGCGGAATCCCCAACTTTGATGAGCTCAGAAGTTGACAAGGAAGAGAAAACTTGGACCTCACACTTGCCCATCTCCACTTCTTTTAAGATCCTCTGCATGTTCTTCTTCTTCTTCTTCTTCTCCTTCTTGTTGTTCTAAAGATGCTTTCTTGCTTTATTCCATATTAATCCACGCCAATGGCAGACAGCATCAGTATAGGATACTTGGAAGAAGCTATGCCAAACCTGAGGGACAATTGCAGCATCATCCATGTGTAGTTGATCACATACAAATCATAAGTTCATAATGTTGTGCCTTCATGAATTATAGACATACCCATAGAGGCTTCTTGACTCTTGAAAGCCAAGAAAAGGTCAGACACAGTAGCAGAATCCATGAACTTTCCATGTGTGAGAGTACAGTGCATTGAAAAGAATAATGAGTACAAAAGGGAACCATGCAGAAGACTGTGTGTGTGTGTGTGTGTGTGTGTGTGTGTTGAGGGAGAGAAGTCTCAAGACATGACATAGTGTTCTATAAAGATAATATAACTAGGGAAGACTTCTGAAGAGATTGTTCTTTTGATTCAATCCTTGATCACTCAAAAGTTCTGCAGATGGAGATGATCCCCTTGTGCCTAACTCACGAGTCCTTCATTTGAAGAACAACATGGTCAAATATTCTTTGCCTAACACATTCATTACAAGAAAACAAAACTAGATTTGTGTAATTCCACCATTTCCACATGACTTGAGAGTGATCCATAGATCATCAATGTTAGATTCACACAACATGGGCTTTGAAAGGGTTGGAAGAACTCTGGTTCCAACATCATCCAGTGTCCCAGTCCACAACTCTGGTTCAGATCTAAATTTAAGGCTGCAAGTGCTGCTGTTCATGCACTTTAAACAGTGAGGGTGTTGGAGTATATCCAGTGATATCAAAGTTGATTGATTACATACAAGCTTGCAAAGAAGACTTGAGTTCTTCCACATCTTCCTGTGGTTATTCTGATGATTTAGTATATAATTAGTACAAATGATGAGAAGTATAACACCACAACATATCATTAAATATATGCCATTGCTGAAAGAGTCACATCTCTCTCTCTCTCTCTCTTCTCGCAGTCGCACTTCTAACCGCAGTAACTCTCTACCATTAGTGGCTTCAGTATTGAATAGTTGCTTCAGTATTGAATGCTTATGCTTCCAATAGCATTAGAGCTTGCTTAAAAGCCTCGCTTCCCTCTTCCACCTTCTCTGCTCTCCTCTCCTTCGCATGACCAAGGAATGGAGGGTCCCTATATGGTCGCCCTCTCCCCGACCCCACTCTTCCTCCTCGATCAAACCACAGAGACACTGCCGACGTTCGACCTTTTTCTCATCTGTGTTCATGTACGTGCATGGATTTGGTGAGGTGCCCCACGCCATAATTCTTCCACCATGCACAAATGTAGGACTAGTCCTTACATGCGTTGAAAGTATTTACAGTAACACACTATCATGGAAGTAGCACTTTGGTCTATGATAAAATTCCATGAGTAAAAGAAATGTATGCTATTTAACTAAAGCACCAAACATAACTTCATATTCTTTTCATTAAATACAACAAAGCATCTTACTAATGAATGAAGCCTTTAGAAATGCATGGCTACAGAAGCTTCCGGCCTGAATGCATTGCATATATATACCATTATGGCAAATACAAAAGAATAACCCATCAATAATTCTATTTAATCTTAGGAACAACACAAAATTATCAGTTTATACCATGACCCTCACAGAACAAGCATCTCTTTAGGACACCTAAGTTGCGCCAGCCGATGAAGTCATCACTTGAATCTGCATGGAACATGGACACATCACTTTTAGTGTTTCATTACACTATGATCAGCACAACAAATAATACTAAAAAAATCAGATTTACCCTGTTCACAAGCAAATCTACTTGTTCTCGGTACATTTCCTTTAGGTCAATGATGTCAGCTCGGAGTTCCTCCAACTGCAAAAGATTCAGGAAGTTCTTTTTATAAAACAAAAGGGGTAAACAAGATGGCATAAATTCTTTCTTTCCTACGGTGAACCCATATAATTTACTGTGATCCTTAAAACTTCAGATAAGCTAAAAATATCTACCACATAAGACAACATTATTTAAGCTAGAAAAACTGTCACAGATCTACAGCTTTATTACAAAAACATAGTTAAATAAGTTAAAAAAAACGAAACAAGGTATTTTCTAACAATTATTGGGTAAAATTACGGAATAAAATTTTGAGAAGTATGATTACTTACATGTGCTCAACAAATAGTTGCTGAAAAACATAATTTGACTAGGTTGAACGTAAGTCTCTTTCTGAAAATTAATAATTATTCCAACTAGAAGAAAACAATTAATTAGAACCTCACCCTTACATCAAACCCAACAAGGTCAACTACAGAGAAGCTCCCATTCAACAAGCTTGGAAGAATGTAACTAGCGAATAATGTAGTGATCTATAAGTACCCTTAAAGCACCATAGCATCAGTGAATTTGTAGAGATTATATAAGGCCATCTATTTTCGGCAGGGCAAGCCTGCATGCTCAGTACTTATCAAAGAAAGAAGCATATATTATGCACTCGAGAAATCATGAATTACTTGTTCAAAATTTCCTGAAGTCAAACTAAATCATGATCAATTTCCAACGATAGAATAAAAAGGCACGAAATATTAAGTGCTCAGACAAAATATTTATCAGTCAGCATCTTGTTCTAACTTCCACTAAACCCTCAGCTTGGAAATTCTTTTGGAAAATAATTTGGTGGTGGATTCTCATAATGTAATATACTTTGTTTCTTATCTACTCAAAACAGTGTTAAGTGGCAAAACCATTTACCCCAGCTTTTGCACTACTACTGTATTTTGGATCTATGACAATACCTTTAAATGCCATAAGTTAGCTATGACCAATATCTCTTTTAAATGTCATAAACTACACTGATGGATTAATTTTTTAATTCATATAAAAAAGGAGCAATAATGATGACAGCCAAAAGCCATTGCAAACAGAAAACCCTGTAGACAGAACAGCCTGAGGAAGGTGTGTATCAAAGAAAGAAGTACGCAATAAAAAAGCAAACCAATGAAGTTCGTGAAATAAAATTGATATGGGACCATTTTAATTTATTTTTATTGAATAAATATTATTATTTTAGGTACATTTTTGTAAATGTCATTAGTTATCAGATGAAGAAAAAGTGAGAGCCAAATGAAAAGGCAACATCTTTTATAATCCTACATCACTTACCAGATCACAACATCTTTTATAATCTTACATTACTTGCCAACATTTCTTAAAGAAAAAAAAGTGAAAGCCAAATGAAAAGGCAAATGAGATAAATCATAAGCTTGATTCTAAATTTCAAGAAAAAAATGAAAAAGAAAAGCCTCGGATCCTCCATCCCCACGAGGAAATTTCATCATTTGATTGAAGAATTTACATAAAGAGGATGTCTATCAATTAGACATCTTTTTTGTATCGTTATAACTAACTATGACTTTTTTTGTATCGTTCCAATTTTATCGGATGTCTCCGAAGAGACAACTATCACTTTACACTTGAATGTGATGACTCTTTTGATATTACTTCTAATTGTGCAATGCATAGGTTATATCTTTAACAGAAGATATGGATCTATTCGCGCAGCTGGATATGCACCATATCTAGCTAACCACCCTAGTGTAGCTGAAGGCTTGGCTTTAAAGCTTGTTGAACATGAAGGATGGCACAGTCCCATAGATTGAATGCTGCCAACCTTATAGCCATGCTTAATGGAGAAGCTCCAGTTTCTTGGATTCTTCATGCTATGATTTTGGACATCCGAGCTGTAGTTTCTAAACTTTTTGTTAATAGTTATTTTTATTTTAACAGATCTCTCAATGTTGATTCCCACAAAATTGCAGAGCTTGGGAGAATCCATCCAACTTATTTTTGTTGGAAGTCAAACATGAATTCTCCCCGGTCTTTTATGATTTGTTTTGTTTTAAAAAAAACAAATCTCAAATTTTATATTCAAAAAAAGATGGAAGAAATGACTTAATTGCCTTGAAATAATTTTCTTAATTGTATTTTCTTTCTTATCTTTAGTTTTCTTTTTCTTCTTGTACTTTCGGAGTTTATCTACAAGGGGGAAGAATTATAACTAGGATCAGTGAATAAAAAAATGAGTCAATGAAATAATTCTTCCTTTTGTCTTGTAGTTCTTGCAAAGATTTCCTAGTGAAGCCAGAATCATGGATATTTGGTGATTCCGCAAGAAATAATTCCTTTTTAAAGATGACTAGCTCCTCTGAAGAGTCTGAACCCTTTTCAAATTGCCCATGTGTATGATAATGAAATTGCACCATGCCAGATTTTGCCTACTTTTGTTTTTCAAGCCACTCTTCACAAGATTCAAGGATTCTTTTCCACAGGATATGAGATATGAAGTTAAGACAGACAATGTGTCACTCTAATACTTGATCTCATAGGTGTTCTCCTAAGCATTATGTGTTGCTACCTGACCCACAGTCAAAAAAATATTTGCAGCAGTCATATGGGTAACATCACAATATAGGTTTTTGATATTTCCAATAAAGAAATTAAGTAGCCACTCATGCTTCAGATCAAGACATCACGATCATACAACCAACTACCAAGACAACCGATATGGATTTTCTTCCCTCAAACCCTTGAGAAAATTATTTTTACTAACCCACTAAAAATTTTGAATTCATCTTCCACCAAAGATCCCATTACTCTGAAGAAACATATATACTCTCAATCTAAATATATTGGTGTCTTCTCAAAACTCTTTGGGCTAATAAATTAAGGGATAGAAACTTGCTTAGAAGAAGTATGATATAGAACTTTTGACGAAAATGAACATGTTGGAGTTCAGAAAACATAACTTAAAGTTAACTGATCTGCAGTGCCTGAAAAGCAATTTTGTGAATGAAACTTTGAAGCAGGGGTTAAACATTAGTACCTCTTCATCACGTTCACCCATAAGTTCCAGTGCTGATGAGTGCCTGCGCCTTAAGGCTTCCAGCTCTGCCCGTAACCCAGGTAAAACTGCTGCTTCTGCTTGCAGCTTATCACACTGCTTATGACAATATCATATTGTTATCATGAATAATACAGTACAGAAGCCAATTAAAAACCAATTACAGAACTGTATGGGAGTTAACCTGCTCTGTCATTTTGACCAGTTCCTCTGCAAGAGAATCCCGAATAGATTCCAGTGAAGCCTACAAGAAAAATGATCTACCAGTCAGAATTTAAAAATATCAAGGAAAAAATTATAAAGAAGCAAATTATGTGGGTTCCACCAAGACAAATGGAGGAATTCGAAAAGGTTGTAACATATATAAGGAATAAAAAACTAAAAGCTTATACATTCGTATTCCAGGTATGCAAAAGCCAGAATCGGAAAGACATAATAGACAACGACTGCACTGCACCATCTAATATCAACAAAAAAGGAGATTGAAAAGAAGGATGAGCATATCAAACATTAATTGGAATTCATTAGTATGTGACCATTGGCCATTGATCATGTGCCACCCTCATCTTATATTCCGAATCACCCTTATAGGATCACTCCAGGGAATGTTTAAATTGTCAAGCCACTGCATTCACACTGCTTTCATCACCCTCACTTCTGCTTCAGTGGAACCTGCTAATAGAGGTGCTACTCTGGATGTTTCCCCAAGGTACAACTGTACATCCCACCACAATCTCTCAGCCCAAATTAATGTATTTGATCTGAGTTTGCACCAAGATGTAGGTGAAGCAATGAAACCAAATATCACGTTAGCAAATTATCTTGTAAGACTTTGAGGATTGCAAAGTTGCAACTTCATTAAGCAGCTTCTCACTCAAACTGGAAGGCATAGACACTTCATCCTTCAGAGGAAACATGTTTGACATTAGCAAGTTTCCCAAATGAAGGATAACTATGACCTGGACTAGGATATTCTATAAAAGATCCTAATCAATCCAACAGATAACCCGTACACTTCTATTCACAGATTAAGATAATCAATGATCTTTGCATGTGTGACCAACATAAAGATAGATTTTCCATACCAAACGTGACATATATGATGCAAGTTCACCATCCTTTTGACGAAGCGCTGCTTCATATGCACTCTGTGTCATGCTCTTCAAAAAATATGGAGAAACTGTTGCTTCCCCAGATGCTCTCCTCTCCAAGTAAAAGTTATCAGACGAGTCTAAAGATGCTTGCAAGAAAATGCTCTCTTCGATGCTACTCAAACTGCCAGCACTTGAAAGCTTCCTAGTAGGTAGATTTTCTGCAAAGCATAAAGGAATAAGAATGATGAGAACACAGTTAAAGAAGCCGTTTCACTACGATAAAGAAACTTAACAGAGACAATATAACACCATTTGCCCAAAGAAAAATGTTCAGCAGGCTTACTGGTTTGATCTTGATCTGCAATTGGGGGAGTTTCACGAGCAAGAGTTTTTTCCAATTCTGCTTTGGCAGTTCTTACCCTTTCAAGCTCCTGAATAGCCAAAGTCCAAAAACATAAATCAATAAAAAATCAAGATTCCAGGTTTACTGGCACCATCGAATACCCAACTAGCAATCTTTAGTCTTTACCATGATAAGAAACATTTTTAACCTCTTTAGCTTAGTGCAGAGTGGAGACTTCCAGTCATGGTAATTGGTATAATCAGCTAAATTTAAGAAAGTTCTAACAAAAGTGAGTTTATCAATATTGAAGTATATCTGTGATGGATGACACTGGTGATTTGAAATAAACTTATAAAGGAAGGTTCAAATAGGTAAGCAATAATCTGGACAAGTTATAGTAGATTAGTAGCTGAGATGGCATGGTGTATATGACAACATTATTACGAGAGACTTTGTAACACAGATGCTAACAACCTTGGAAAAGAATATGAAAAAAAATACAGATGCTAACAACCTTCAATTGATACATCAATTACCTACGCTATCGCAAGTACAAACACTTATCCCATACAAGAATGAAATAATCTGAATGGGGAAAAATGGTAAATCTTCTGGAAACAAAAAATGACTTGACTGAAAACAGCAATTATAAACATTAGATAGAAACACACATATATAATGCTCGACAAACACTGGGGTTTCTTTTCACTCCATTAAGAAATCTGCCACCATAATTTATGATAATGCAAAAAGTAAAGTATGCCAATAAAGAAATAAGCTATTTACGACAAATGCTCAAAGCATAAATGAAAAGCAGTAAGTACTTAACAAAAGAGACAGAATAAAGATCACAGCATATTTATTAGTAAAGAGATGCGCACACAGAGAAACTAAAAGAGTTTTTGGTGTTTTTGGCAATACTAGTCATGCGAGAATATATTGGATACACAATCGTTTAAAAATATCATTTGTTGATTTTCAAATAACTTGAAGTTTATTTAATTGGAAAATAAAGCAAATGTATGACAAAAGACTGCTACTCAAGGTACCTTCTCTAAAAGTTCTCTGTGAATCATTTCATCTTGTAACTCCTTTTTATGTTTGCTCCTAATCTCCTTGATTTCATCTTCAAGCTGCTTGGCCCGACCCTCTTGTGTAGCAGCTTCCTCCATTGCTGCTAGATATTCTTGTCTGCTTTCAGATGCTCTCTGCCTTTCCTTTTCAAGTGATCTGCTTAGTTGTGTTTGCTCTGCTCTGATACATGAAATCTAAATAGTCCACTATTAAAAAGCTATTATCTACTTATGGATGAATTGTTTGAAAAAGCAAGTGTAGTTGTAAAGAACTGAATGTCGTAGAACAATAATATCAGGAAAACCTGAGTTTCAAGAACAGTAATTCGTGATAGACTTTGTGACAGACGCTCATTCAGTGATCGCTCTTTTTCCTCTGCAGCAGCCGCTTTGGCTTCTGCCTCCTGTCAATTAAACTAGTAAATGTCAGAAACATTGCTGCTGGATGTCTGTGATGCAAGTGATATTTCCTGGATCTAGAAAACCAAACGATTGGGTCTTGTTCAATTACTAATAGATGTCTAAAAAGTTCCTCAATATAGTCAACTATTTGAAAGGTCCAATCTTTACTGTGACGCATGGGACTTGAAAGAAACCTTACACTACTACTATTAGGTCTTCACATAGTTCTTAAACTTGTTCTCACAGGCCCAAACTTAGCATACTCAAAATCTGCTATTTTGTTACTCTATGCCTAATCTACACAATTTTCTCGATGCATGTACAGGAAGTCATAAATCAAAAACTAAAATATCATCTTTTAAAGACAACCTGCAAGCGGGAGTTCAGGGCTCTTTCTACAACAAGCCAGCCTTCCTCTCTTCTACCAGATGTCTCCTGTTCAAATTAAAATTAACAAAAATTAGAAAAGTCCGACCACAGAAATGTAAATCTCAACAGAAAGCATTCCTACATTATGTCTATCATGCAAAATAAAAATACCCCCAGGGCAAGCAAGCAAAAATACATAACCTGCATTGCCTCAATCTGCCTCAGAAGTGGCCGAGTTGACTCAGGAACTTGTGTGATCAGCTCTGTGTAGCGTAGTTCACTTGCCTGGAGATGGCAAAAAGTGAAAACCAACCTCAAATCCAGAATAACAACTAATAAGAGGGTGTGAGAAACCACAAGGATATGATGAAACATAACATACTTGATAGCGTTTCTGAAGATCATCAATATCCCTTCGCAGCATTTCTTCTCTAAAGACCGCCTGTAATATTTGAAACATGAATATTGGAAATGAAGAAAAATAGAACAACTACAGAGAAAACAAAAGACTACGTATGAAAATAGATCAGGCCTTTACAAATATCCACAATTAACAAGAACCTGTTGCTCTGTTCTAGTCAGACTCTGCCTCAACTCCTCGAGTGTCTGAACCAACATAGCTTCACGTTCACCAGCTTCCTTCAGGCGACTCTCAAGTTCAACTCTAGCTTCATTATTAGCTCGTGCCTCTGCCAAAGCTTCAGCCTCCTTGGCTGCATTAAGTGCATTGGTATAAAATTCCTTCTGAGCAGCAAGTTCTGATTGATTTCTTTCTATGGTTTCCTGCAGCAACTTTTCAGTTGCCGCCTTGTCTCTTTTTATACTTTCTACTTTTGTCTCCTCAACCTGGAACATACAAGGCAATTAGTCAAAAAATGTTTGTGTGACATTAGTCAGGAGAGCAATTATGACAACTCTCAAAAACTTTCCAGTTGCTGGTTTAACAAGCACTTTTCAGATAACAAAGGAAATATCAATAGCAGGTTTCAGATTTCTTTCAAGCAAGCTGAAAATGAACTTAGAAAGGATTTCATAGTCAAAAACATATTTTCAAGAATTGATAATTTGCTGGTTTAACAAGCACTTTTCAGATAACAAAGGAAATATCAATAGCAGGTTTCAGATTTCTTACAAGCAAGCTGAAAATGAACTTAGAAAGGATTTCATAGTCAAAAACCTATTTTCAAGAATTGATAACCACATACTAAAAGTTTTTAAATTTCAGATAGTGGCTTTTCGGAATATGATAGTCAACGGATATGTGGTAGTGCAAGATCATGTTTACATGTGATATACATAATTATTGGATGTAGATAGGGAATCATTGTTTGTTTGATTAAACAGCAGATAGGAAAGTGGATGACCAGAAAAAGGGAATAAGATTGATATCAGCAATATCATTCTCATCATGTTTAGTTAAGATAGCATCCACAAATATAATTATAAAACTCTGGCAATGTCCAATTAGTTTTTTAGGCCACAAATGTTTTATACTTTAGATACATGAACATAATACATAAGGCTTCAAGTTTTAATAAATTGAGGAACATTGCATCAATCTCAGACAAGTTTAATGCTTGAGCCTATCTAGATTCTCATCTAGGTTCTAGATAGAAGTTCTCATCGCATGAGCCTAAAGTTGGCTCTACCATTCAATCTCATCAATAACCTTATTGTGTATTCCTTGCTAAATTCTTATGCATTTAAAGCACTATTACTGAAAACTTTAAAAAAGGTGTTTTTGATTTCTTTATACAAAATAAGCCCACGAGCATTAATATATGTATTATTATTGGCAAGCATGAGTTCCTGAGATTTGGTTTTACCAAAAGTTCAAATGATGCCCTCTATGCTCAAGTACAAACATCCATGCTTCATATTATTTCATTAGCAGTTTAATTGTTGTTTTAGAAGTCCAAATCAAACTCTAGGTTGTACAGAAATATAAGAAAACAGAGAGGGATAGCAAAGATATTGGTTCAATACTCTCTTTCCTTTTAAAGACTTCTAGTTCCAGTTAACAAGGTGGTTGATTGGAGCAAATATTTAAATCTCAGTCCAATACCTGTATAGTCCTTGGTTGGACTGGTAATCTTACTGGCCCATACAACTGACAATATCTGTTAGCACCTGAGCAGTTTACATAATTTTACTTGGACTTGAGTCTATAATTTTACATAAAATGTCTGAGGATATTTCAAGAAATTTAAGTCAAGAGAAGAGGGAGTCGGTTTGCAAAGTGTCCAAATTAAACTTCTTATGGATGCCAATTGGAAACTGTTGCTACTAGTTAGTTAATGAGGGCATAAATCTTATTAATGATTATGTATGAGGAAATGAAAAAAGGAATAAAAGAAAGAAAGATAAACCTCTTGAAGAACAAACAAAAATATAGATGTCCAAAAGTTGTTATCAATTTTTAAAATTAGAAATAAGAAAGCGATGCATGTAGGGACTGTCCCACTCAATCAATTTTTAAAAACAGAAATAAGAAAGAACCACATGTAGAGACTGTCCAACTCAGTCTATCACAGAAGAGTACCTGGTTATATTCACCTTGTGCCCATGAAGAAGGTTTTAAGTTCTACCAGATAAAAGAATGAGTAAAATCTGTTGAATTACCTGAAGCTTTGAGTTGAGTCTTTGTTTTTCTTCTTCAAGCTCCCGAATCTGGCTTCAAAAAGAGAAAACTGCAACATTGCTAAGATATTTCTTGCAAGCATAAAGAGTAATGAACAGTATGATATGACAAAATCAAATGACTGAGTCCATGCCTGTGCCCTTAGCTTTCTGATAGTTGCTTCTTGAGCAGCCTGCTTTTTCGACAGCTCTTCACCTGTTCCAATAATTACAAGGCATGCAAACAATTAATAAACCTTTGCAGGAATAGATAATTAAAGGCTACACCATGACCAAATAATAAGTTAATTTCTGAGACGAGATGACAGTAACATCTTGTGGAAAGATTTTTACAGAAAGAATTTTACAGATAAATGAGTGGTCTTAACTGTGACTCCATTACAGTGCAGTAAGGTCAACTGCTTGAGTACAAAATTTTGTATGGCGAGAAGCAATCGAGAAGACAAATATTGCAGCTTAGTACATATGGAGCCTTCGGCTCAATTAATTAATCTACATAATTTTTGGAAAGCCAACTGTTATCTCAAAGACTCAAACCTTATTGGAAAGATATTATAGTTAATGCACAAATCACAACCATGCAACATGAAGATGACTTTTTTGTAAAATCTTCAGACTTCAATTGCCAGTCAAAAGTATACCTATGAAAGGTTGTTGTGCGAAAACCTCAAAACTTGGGTAAGTAGTAGAGCCATCGAGCAAGATTTATACTAATATGACAGAAAAAAAAAATTGAAAACTAAGTATCCTCTTAATCATGGATTAAAATCGATGGTACTGGACAGGTATGGGTCTGGTGCGATCTGGTGTACCTACAGATGGTAGGGAGATGGACAGGAGGATGCGGAGGGTGTTGGAGGAAGAGAAGGAAGAATACCCAGGCCAAGACAGCATTCGTTGTGAGACGAACAGGTCGGCAAATGTTATCCAAATAACTAGTGCATAAATATCACAAGTTCACAATGATGATTACAATGAATCAAAACAGGATCTATTGCAAGTCTACTAAATTGCAGAAGTAGAAAGCAAACAGATCTAGCTATGGCATACCTTCAGCCATAACTTGACTAATAATCTCATCTTTTTCTTTCAAAAGAGCAGCTGCATCATTTTTTTTGCTTTGTTCTCTCCTCAATGTATCCCTTTCTCTGGTGAGAGCATAAACCTGCAACAAAATTTTATCATCATTATGCCATAAAATTTGGTTGCATGATATAGAACTGGAAATTTTTATCTTAGGGAAAGGCAAATGAAATAAGTAAAAGAAAAGGAAGATAAAAAGGGAAAAGGAGGGGAAAGAAGGTAAAATTTGAGAACATATCAAAGGTCTCAAAGAAACCTCAATAAAATCATCAAAAGGGCCCTATGGATACAAGATATTATCAAGGGAAACCACTGGATAGCACCCTTGAAGGGTATCTCTAGGATCACGAATGACCTCCTGACTTGGCTGCAGCCTTCTCTTAGTCTACCTTCACCATTTTCTCCAATCTGAACCTCTCCCTCTTTCTCCGTTGTTCTCTCTCCTCTTTTTCCTCTTCTTTTCCTTCCTCTTCCTTTATCCTTTTCTATTTGAACCTGGAAAAATCGGCTGGAATTTGCTGATTCATTCAAGATCCAGTTGGTCAATGCTGAATTCCAGCCTTTTTCCAGTCAATTTGACAAAATAACCGAGAAATTGGGACCAATTGAATCAATCCCAGAGAACCAATTTTGATACATCATTCAACTTCCAACCAACTCCACCTATTACTATTTACTAGACATCATTTGATGACCATGATATTATCCTGTACTGGTTCTTCTTCACACATATCTTCAGAAGAGAGTCTAAAGTGATATAAGCTTTGATCTGTTATAATAGAAATGATTAACAGGTGGTTATAATCAATGCACATACAAGGAAGCAGAGTCAAAGAGTGAACAACATACAAATATCAGAGAAATGGCATTTCATATGCCTCCATCCAAAAGCTGCACAAAGGAAATAAAGGCAAGATTTTCAAAAGGTGAAACCTGCCAAATGAAAATCAATAAAAGCCAAAAGCTATAAAGCCTAAATCAACTCAAAGACAAAAAAAATTACTGGTTTATATAAGAGAATGAGAGAGAGGGAGAGAGAGAGAAAGAGAATATGATTTTTTTTTCTATAAAAAGTGAAAAGTGTGAGTCATCTGCACCTTTCTTTCAAGAGATGACACTTTTTGGTGGTATTCCTCTCGTAGGGCATCTATTTCTGCTTCTGATGACTTCCTCTGTAATTAAGTAAATAAGCAATTCAGAATCAAACACCATTTTAAGAAAATAAGCAACAATCATAGTCTTGAAATGTTATAAAGATAACACTATCAACAACGAGAAAGTAAATAAAGACCACAAGTAAGACTGCCATGTCGCCAGAGAGTTAATGAGATGTGATGCCAGTTTAACGTATTAACATATGACCAAGCCATTTTCTGACCTATGTTGGTTGACTGACACAACCAGCACAATACGCACAATATAGAATCCTATTGTACCAGTTTTGATGTGTCCTAGTGCCACAGCATGACAATCCTTGCTCATAAACCCTTCATCAGGATCCAAATTGTCAGATATTCCTCAAATATGAAACAATAACTAATCCTTTAAGAACATATTAAAACTTATTTAATCACATAACTGAAGTTGAACTACATTGCACTTGGAGCCTAGAGGAACAACTTACCTCAGATAATTATAATTTATATACTGTATTTACTGATTACCAACTATTATGTGTTTGGTGCTATTATAGGTAAAAAAGAAAATATCCTCAATATATAGGAATAGACAAATCTAGTGGGATTAGGATTACCGGTTATCAGTTTTGTTCAGTCCTTTGGTCAACAATTATAACTAGTAATAGTAAATGCATGAAGATAATTTCACAGATATAACTGATAGTTGTAATGCTCTTAATAAAACTCAATTGTGAAAAAGATCCATGTAGCCAACCCCAAAATAGTTGGTTAACAAGACAAAGAATTACATCCAAGCAACATGTGAAAGACTAGGAGAAGATGAAGGCATGATGTATGTATGAAAACTCATGGCATGTTTCTTAATCATAGTGGTAAAATGGTACATCAACAAACAAAAAATGACAACTTTCTTCAGGCGTCTTTAAAGAAAATATGCTTTGTTCGCTAAGAAAGAAGAATATTGGCGGCTAGATCCATACCTACCTTTAAATCCTCAATAATAGATTTTAACTGTTCGTTCTCATTCATCAATTTAGAAATTTCATCAGCTTTAACCTGCAAAAACATGAAAACACAAATGTCACAACACATTGTAAAGAAGCAAGAAACTACTATAGTACTATGACTATCTGTCTAGTGTAACATTGTTAAAAGAGTGCTAGATTTCAGTTACAAGATGCCCCAAAGTTATTTGTCGACTATATTATTATTGAAAGCAAGGTTCAAAAAACCAGTCAGACCAGTACATACCGACCAGTAGTTACCGGTCCAACTTAGGAACCAGCATTTGGACCTAGTGATTTCACTCCATCCAGTTCTCAACTGGTTCTTTCAAATTTCTTAATTTTTTTTAAACTGGAGACCTTCTGTTGACCATCGTTTTGGCATATGCATAACCTGTGCAAACGAGTTCTAAACCTGCATAACCTGTAAGTTCTCAGCCAAAACTGGTTATACAGGTCAACTACAAAGACCGGGTATCTCAAAGACCAGGTTATGCAGGTTTAGAACTGGTTTGCACAGGTTTTGGCATACTGTAGGTTATGCAGGCCAAGTGAAAAATGCAGGTTTTGGTATACTGTAGGTTCACTTTTAGAACGTGCTAAGTGTTGGTACATCAATAATACCAGAACCATACCAGTTTGACTGGTGACAGGTACATACCAGACACAGTCTCGATCCAAAACTTGAAACATTGGAAGAAATAGTGTCAGAGCTAAGCTGCAAAATGCTTCAAAGCCATTATTCATGATAATCTATAGGTGCTCAAAAAGGAGATTCATAGATAATAAGAACAATGCTGTGTGATGTAGCAGCAGCATCCCTTGAATATAAGCATGGATGCATTGCTTCCCCTTTCTTTTTTTTTTATTTTCCATCTGTGGACATCACAAATTCTTATTTTTATTGTATAAGACCAAAAAAATAACAAGTAGTTGCCATTATTGATCCTCAAATCTAATACATGCATAGAAGCATGGAAGCTTGGAGCAAGTGCTAGTTCTTTTTCCAAAGGGAGAGTATAACTTGGGTAACAAGGATGCGAGTCATACAATGACCTCTCTCCTTGTTGGGGTAAGGATGCATATATGGGTTCTTCACAACCCAGCATTTGGTGTGAGACTTGTGCAATTAGGCCTCTCTTTTTGAGAGATTAACCACTTCTTTGTCCAACTATACTAATTCAATATTCTCTGGTTGTTGGGGTATCGGCAAAAATGGTCACAAATAAAAGGCTCCACACACTTACACTTGAAACTACCGTTATACTGTTTAGTGACAGCATTAAAATTGACTAGAAGAATGAATTTCACGATTTGGCTTTGTGCATCCAATTATCTCACTAAAACTAACCCTCTAAACTTATGGCAAGGGTCTTGGGCCAGGATTTTCGAACGACACCACAAATACAAGAACAGGATAAAATTACTGTTAATAACAACGTATAGGAATATATAATTTGACATTCAGATGGAGTACTAGATTTAGTTGAAACTTGAAACCAGAATGAAGGATGTTTACTCTTGCTAACTTAGAGAATAACTTTGAAAAAAGGATATTACTTCCAGGTGGCACTAATGGACTCTAATCAGTTGATAAACAAGAGAGAGGGCTACTGAATGGACAGTCATTGAAGACAAAGTGCTCTTTGATAGGATGAAAGGTATAGCTAGCTATTTCTTGATATAACTAAAAGTGACCCAAGTCTAGTAAAATGTTCATTATCCATTGTATAGGACAAATTAGCAAGCTTGTAAAGATAATATTCTTTTTTCAAGTTTGAATGAGTATTTATTCTCTTGGATTTGTATATAACTGAAACTAAACTCAAAGCCTTTTCTCATCAATATGTGGTTGGTCATACACTTAGACCAAGTAGAACATTTTCCACTGTGCTCAAAGTCTTCTGTACAACTGAAGCGAGAAGAAAAGAAACAGAGAAAATAACCTCATAAAAACAAAAGAAGTTTAAAGACAATAGCATTTGGCTTTCCTAGTAGCAGGCTTCAGATCCTGTCCAGGACGATGAACAGCATTTGATGGATAATAAGCTACAACCAGCAAATTTGGCGGAACTCGGATTTGGATAAGGACAAATGCAAAAGATTCATGGAAACCTACACATTTTCCAATCTTCACAGAATCTTATCTTTAAATGTCCACAACTTTTTTATGTATCGACCATAGAGTGACATACAAAACTAAATAAGGTACAACCGTACAGAGAAAATTTATAGTGCTTGCCAATTGTCATGCACTAAATTATTTAAAACATGAATTACCTGGGCTTGTCTAGCAGCACCTTGTAATGCAGCCTCCATCATTTTCATTTCTTGTTTCACCTTCTCCACTTCAGCAAAAGAATTCACTGAATTTGGCACATTGTTTGATACAGCATTGTCATTCTCAGCTTCAACAAGCATTGCCTCGGAGCTTAATTTCGCTGACTTCAGAGATGCATCATCGTCATGCGATACTGATTCAGAAGTTTCATTTTGATCCTGCTCGTTGCCAATTGGTTTTGGAACATTATTGTCAGAAAATTCATTGGGATGATCATGCTTCATGATACCAACAGGAATTATTGCAACAGAAGCCTCTTTTTCAAGGCTTTCTTGGACACTAACTACAACATTAGAATGTTTAGGAGATCCTTTATCAACAAGCTGCTCAGCTTCTGTCTCATTTTTGACATGGCTTCCTTGTGAATCGCTTGCATGCTGCAACCCTTCAGGTGCATGGAAAACACTATTGACATTAGGTTCCACACTCTCTGCAATCTGCAACTGGGAATCTCCTGGTTGTGAGTTATTACTTGCATCTCCATCTGCATCTACCTTATGTTGGAATACAGGAGGTAAATCTGCTTCTTCCTTGCTTCCAGACAATGAAGTCTCTGTTTCATCTTGTGAATGACTTGATCCAACAACAGCGCTGATCTGATCGAGTTCTCCAGGTTCATTGGCAATGATGCTAGCATTATTAGAATCAGTGTCATCAACCTTACTTGTGGAATCTTCAATTCCCTTGTCAGAAAGAGCAGTTGTTTCAGCTGATGGAATTTTTTCAGATTCTTCAGCTGATGGAGGGTGTTCCAAAGATTCTTCTTTTACTGATGCTTTGGAAGGTCCTTCCTCTCCTTTATTCCCCATAAAAGCCATCACAGGTTCAAAAATCCCTTTACCATCTGATGCTGATGTCCATTTTGCAGAACCTGGCATAAGCATTATATTCAAATTTCAACAACATCTAAAGATGGAAAAGTTATAAAAGAAAAGGAGAAGCAAAATCATAAAGAATTAGATAGAAATATAGAATAAGTTAAATACCCTGATATCAAGGACACTAAGTCCTACATATTCCAAAATGAATGGTAATGAGATATAATTCCACAACCAATCTGGTGGAATTATATCAAACATTGATTATGTGACACCACAGTTTAGTTCATAATGGACGTGGGAGAATGGATGTCATTGTATATAGAACTGGTTGGGCCACAAACCAAGCCCAGTCGGGGCCAACAGATTACATAAATCAAAAGAGAATGTCACAAATGAACAGATACATATAGAAGATGAAAGGTGTTTTCTCCTCTTCTGCATTTTACATTATTTTCCTCATACCTGCATGAATATCCAACAGGTAATGCGAGAGGACTAGCATCGTGTCTCCTAGAGTTAATGACACAGCCTTAGTAAAGCCAACTTTGTCAGATGCCGACATTGATTGCAAAACACACATCTTCAAGAACAAAAAGAAAGAATATTCTAGTTGAAGATATTACCAAGTAAAGCATCGAGCATAAGAATCTTTCATGTTGAGCACCTAAAATGTGTAACCATCACTGACATCTAGATTTTTTCAAAATTCAAGCTTTGTTGTTTGTGGACATCTATGATTATCATTGCAATCCATCCATAACGCTCCCACCCACACTGGTATGTGATACCATATGTGCTACATGAGCTTGTTAAAATACATCAATCTTTCAGAACTCCAATGACTGGGACTATAATTTTGGCACGATTGATACCTTATGAGTTTGAGATTAGTTCACCAACATGGATCAGCCAACATGATGAAGCAATTATCACATGCACGAACAAAATAACATAAAAAACAAACAAAAATTGGAAAGTCGTTACCTTCATCACCAGAATCGTGTTTCTCGTCCAATCCGAGAGCACTATCGAAGTTCTTCTCGATGTTCTTGACGCTCTCGCTCAGTTTGGACACGGCCCCGGCCAGATCCGGGAAGCCGCCCAAAGACACCTTCCCCAACCACGCCATTCTGCGCTAGCTAACTACAAATCCCTTCCTACCTGGGCTCCAAATTCCAAGCTTTCATTTATCTATCCCACTGCAAGAAAATTTTGACCTAGTTAAATTCGCATTAAGCGAATCAAGATTCTTTTCCACAGTCTGCGGTAGCACGCATCAAGATCCAATTGATTCCAGCGAAATCGAGAGGAACCGGATCATCCAATAACAAAACGAACCCAAAAAAACTTTCAGATCGAGAGAGGGCAAACCTCGATGTGAAGCGGAGCTCGAGAATGGAGGGGGGCACGATCGGCAGACGGGAGATCGAATCCGGTGGTTGCGTTCGATAAATCCTGCGATGGCGATCTGGCGATTGGTCGATTAGGTGCGGGGCAGAGAGAGAGAGAGAGAGAGG